TATGCATATGAATATGTATGTATATATATATATATATTTATACATATATACATACATATTCACATATATATATACATATTCAATATATATATATATATGGATATATATGTATATATATGAATATGTATATATATATGTGAAGATGTATGTATATATGTATATATATTATTTGTGTATATATGTATATGTAATTTTTTATTTTATTTTTAAAAAATAAATTTTAAAATTCTGGAATTTTTTAAAAGTTTTTTAAAAAATTGTGTATATATGTACAAGTGTGTATATATGTAAATGTATAAGTGTGTCTATATATATATATGTATATAATTATGTATGTAGATGTATATTTGTATATATGTATATGTATATAATTGTGTATAGATATAAAAGTGTATATATATGTATATGTAATTTTCTATTTTATTTTTAAAAAATAAAATTTGAAATTCTGTATTTTTATTTTATTTTATTAGTTTTTAAAAAAATTCTAGAAATTTTTTATTTTTATTTTATTTTTTATTTATTTTCTGATGTGGCCGGATGATGTGGCGAAATGTGCTGATTTGGTGAAATTTGTATGACGTGGCATGCCATGTCAGCATTAAAATTGACAGAGCATAACGTCGTTTACGGATATGGAGGAAATTGTAACACATTTTAAGATTTTGTGTGGGAATTTGGAAATATTTGAAATCCGGTGTAGTTTTTTGTCAAATTAAAAATTGGTATAGGAAATTAGAACTTTTTCGAAAATTTGTGGGGGAATATGGGATTATCCCTTTTTAATTTTATTTTTAGAAAACAATACTGTTGTGTTGTAATCCGGCCCAATTTTGAAAATAATATATGTACCGAAAGAGAATTACAGACACGATGTTTTGTTTTGGATGTTAAACCTCGTTTCACTGTTGTATATGTTTTTTTTTTACTTATACTTTGATTTAAATCTAGATTGTACACACTTAAATTTGCCCAGACAATGATGTAAAGATAGATATTTGATGTTGGCAGTAATATTTTTCTGCATGTCATAATATCGAAATGTATGCATGTGTTGGAGAAAATTTTGGACCGACCTTTCCGTTCATTGATTAGGCCTCATTTTCATGGCCTTTCAATTTGATCGCCAATTGGTCCGATCTCATGGCCATGCAGTGCCCACAAAACCCACTTGTCAGAATATTGCCCATACATTTTTGCTGTGCAGGCCCCTAAGATTTCAATAGGAATTATATATACAACAATTGCAATGTGGTGATGATGTGATTGTGGTAATAATTCGAGTCATTCCTTATTTGAACCCTAAGTTTCTAAATTTTCTATTATCATATGTTTGTGTCATGAAAATATATATTTACGTTATGCGTCAACTATTATTTGGTATATCTAGACATTCATTGTTGTAGAAAAAAACGGTTTATATCGTTTATGTATAATTTATTATGAATAGATAAAATTCCATTAAAAATATACTAAAATACGTAAAATCTTTTTAACAAAAATCAAAATCTCTATATGGACCTACCATATATAAAAAATTTGAGTATCTCCTATTGGTCGATATCACATTAAAATGTTGAAAAGAATTAAAAGATATAAAAGCCACCGTAGATTTATCCATTATATATCAATATTGTGCATTAGTGGATTAAAGAATTGGAAGGCATACAAAATAAATTAGAGCAAAAATCACCATACAAAAAAAGTGTACTTTTGTTACGAGAACCCAAATCTTGAAAAGTAAAAAAGAAAAGGTAGTAAAAAAATAAAATAAAAAAATATATCTTAATGTGATATCAAATGCCTAGCTAGAAAGGAAAAAAAAAGTAAGAAAATATCCATCTGTAGTATTGGTAGATAGAAAAAAATATAATTAATGTTGAACCATAGTTTTACCATATCCTCATGTGTTTCCGTGCCATGTCCTCATATGTTTGTATATATAGCAGCCTTGCTTCTCAAGAATCGATCCACAATAAATTATACCCTAAAGTCCTTTCTTCTCTTGTGAGTTCCCTCCTCCTTCTTCTTCCCAGTCTACCATGGATTCTGCCTATCTTCGCCAAGTCTCAGTTTATCCACAGCCTGTCACCAACCATGGAGTCCTCGCTTCGATCCAAGAAAACCCACCTCCCAAATCCGCTGAGAAAACAAAAAAAGTGGCCGAGGAGGGCGAAATCGGTGTTTTCAACGCCGAAAAATACTTCAGCATGAAGTTAGACGTAGACGCCGTCTCGGCGCAGAGCGACGCCCTTTCAGGAAGAGACGAGCAAGAAAATCCGCCATGGATGAGATCCAGGAGCAGGCCTGCGACTCCGAGCGTGAGATCTGAATCAAGTTACAACAGCCAAACCCTTCTGTTGAGATCAAGCTCCATGATCACGAACAAGCCTCACGCTAAGCAGCGGAAAACGAATGAGACGAGCATTTCTTTCGGCGGGTTTAGATGCAACGGCCCTTGCTCCGGTGGCAAATCTGTTAATACAGACCGGAAAATCACTGCCCACACGAGAAAATCTCATCATGGTTCTGTAACTTGCGACGCAAGAAAGCGTATCGATCTGGCAAGACTCCGTTTCGAAGCCCAGAAAGCGAATGGCCATGGCCAGAAACCCGAAGATTTCTTCCCTGTGACCGTAAAGAAGGCCGATATCGCGATGAATCTTGAGAGAAAACTCTCGATGCTCACATGGGACGCGATCCCTAATGCGCCAAACTATCTTGCAGCCTCCAAGAACAATACCAGCTCTTCAATCAGCAGCAAAACGCAGGAAGACACGGCAAGTGATACAAGTTCTGATCTTTTTGAGATCGATAATATAACCAACAGTGCTTACGAGCCGAGCGAGGCGAGCGTGGTTTGGAGCGTCGTCACGGGAAGTGTGGCCGATCAATCGATTATTTCGGATTTCGAAGTAAAGATGTTGCCGGAAACCAGACGGAAAAGTTCAGCTCCGGCGACAAAAGCCAAGATTCCGGCGGATAAGAGCCGTTCCGGTGGGATATTGTCAGGTTGTAAGAGCCAGAAAGCTGTTTCAGTGGTGGAAACTGCTTACAGGAATGAGAAGCAAGCAAAGGTTCATCGGATTAGGATCCAAGATTTGGATTTCCTGTAAAAAAAAAAAATGTATGTCCTTAAAATTTACAATATGATGGCTTTATAATTTCATGTGTTTTACCCTTTTGTTTTCCTTGCGCCATTGTCCTTTTATTTTTACTTTTGTTTACACTAGTAGCTCTTTTAATCTTGTTACTTATTTTGTGTGTGTAATGAATGTATCAGTATTTTATCGGATAGTCGAATTAAATAATGTTTTTTTTTTCCCAAAATGTGAAAACTTTTTACTTGGTAAAACACACAATATATAAAAACTTGTAGAAACGGCTATGAAATAGTCTTGCAGAATAATTAGTGGGGATTTTCATGGGTTTTATTTGATTTAGAAGCCAATTGTATTTCGAAACATTTCAGATTAAAGAATACGTGATTTCTACAACGTAGAGAATGTACAAATTTATATTATTGTTGCTAAAACAAATTATTACACATACAAGAATAATTGCATTCAGTGTTTTTAATGATATAGTATCAGAAATTACAGTAACACAAAATATTAATTTATTTTTATTTTCATAACGAAGTAATGTCGCGCATATTATAACTAATCACCCTCATAAATATATATATGAAAAAATGGTCTAAAATCATCAATTCATGCAAGGCTAACCATGCGTAGGTTTCCCTGGATTTTCTATCAAATCAAAATTCAGCATAAAAATCAAGGTAATTTCTTTTTATGGGTAACATAGTGTTTTGTGCCAGGACCTAGACTAATCGTACAGTTGAAAATAAGTCACGTAATTGAAATTACACTCTTTTCTCCAATTTGAAACTCGAACTCGGAACGGAATATACGCTTTATATTGGGATGTTAAATGGGCTGCTGACTCGCGAGCCGGTCCTGAACCAGACCGTTTAGTGTCGAGTTGGGTCAAACATTTTTTAGCCCGTTACAAACGGTATGGTCTAGTCTGAGCCAGAAAAAGGCGAACTCGTGACGAGCCGGGCTTATTTGAGCCGGGCCAGCCCATGAGCCGCATACTTTCTTAGTTTTTATCTAATCCTAATTTTTATTCATGATTTTAGATATTATTCGTAATGATTTTATCTTTTCTTGGTAATGGTTTATATGAGTTTTTAGTATTTTTATGGGTTAAGATACTCTTTTGGTAATGTTTTATAAAATTTTTCTGGATCAACGGATTATTTTAGCACAATTTATTACTTTGTTTTGTATTTTTTTAGCCCGCGAGCCGGCTCGTTTAGCTCAAGAGTTTTAGTGAGCCGGTTCGGGCCGCTTAATTTCAGTCCATTTACAAACGGTTCGGTTTAGTCCGAGTCAATAAAATGGTGAGCTCGTGATGAGTCGGCCTGGTCCGAGCCGGGCTAGCCCGTTTAACATCCCTAACGTTACATATTAATTTCATTGAACTATCCAAATCGAGTAAATCAATGTAATCTTTACTTCTAAATCAACCATCTAACGATCGCATTATATTTGCATGGACAATATATTTTGTATTCGGTATTCTAATTTTGCCATGAATGTCATTTTGAAAAACAAAACAATTAATCATATCTCATAATGTTTTTTTTTCTTCACAAATATCTTTCATAATGTTTCTCTGAAAAATAAACCTTATATATTTTTTACGACCGGAATAAAGAAATAGAACGCTGACATTGCAAATTCTGAATATTATATTAATTACCTTTAAATAAAAAATAAGATTTTTTGTGTTATATCACTAATTAATATAAATACATATGTACAGTCACGTGCAGATTCAATCCCTAATCCAATTTCTTACTTACAACACACAAGGTCCAACCAATGTACCATTAAAGCATGGGCTTAGCTATACCAATGGTTGTATTGTCATATCTTATCCATATATTAATATACATATATATATATATATATATATCTTATAATTAATAATTGGCATTTAACATTGGAGTATTTTTAGCCACGCAAAAATTAGTTTATGTGAATACTACATTCAAAGGGAATGTTTTGAAAGGGGACCAAACGAGTTATTTAATTTCGTTATCATATTAATGTGGAAGAGAATATGGGCACCGAAAACAAAAGTTGTCATGGACCGATCGGAAACTTTAATTCGAATATCCTCTTCCGGCTGCCCAAAAACATTATCCTTGGGAAAAAAAATTAGAAATGATATTTTTGTTTGATACAATATATTGTTACGATCGCTTATATTAGTTTACTATGCTCTACAGAAATATCTTAATTATAATATAAGGTGATAATTTATTATTCGAGATATATCGTTTTGTAACCTGTGATGTACGGATATGGCTTCCATTTTTTCCATTATTGTATGTTAATCGTCGACATTATCTTGAAAAATGTTTGTATTAATTATTGATAATAATCGTTTCTTCAACCGTTATATATATCCAACAAATAAAATTTTAATATATGAACAATTTGAGAATTTTGCTTATTGGGTGGTACCAGCTGAGGAATGTTTTCAACATATATTGAATGTTTTGTGACCTATATGTCACGCGGAGCATTTAAAACGAAAAGGAGATATACCCAATAATAGTAACAACAACGTTTTTATATATATTAAATTGGAAATATTGTAATATGGCAAAATCTAAAATAATATTATTTGGAAAAAGATATTGTAGTTAAATAAAAATAATAAATAAAATTTAATATCTAAACTACTGTTATTATATATTTAATTTTTTATAATATATATTATCAAAAACGCATATTTATTCATTTTTAATATTCTATATAATATAAATTTTGAATAATTATTTATCACTTCCAGAAAAATTATCTAATAATCAATTATTTCGAAGTTTAATTTTTAAGTCATAAAATAATTTTAAATTATTTAATATTATATTTCCAATAAACGGATATCTTTAATTTTTTTTAATCAATTAATCAATTCAAAATAAAATCAAATTTATTTCATGTTTTGATTGTTCTATTCAAATGGAAAGATTTTTAAATACAAATACTATACATACAAAAAAAAAATCTGTATTTTTAACTATAATAAAATTAAGTTTTTAAGTTTGTGATGGACACCCTCCGAGACGACTTCAATAATTCGATTTTATATACGGACACTTTCAATGGTACGATTTTATAACATCGGACACCAGAATATCTAATATAATATTACAACTTTTTAGCATAAATTGCTGGTATTTTTCATTGATTTTAAACAATAATCTTTACACTCTATTTTTTTTTTAAAAAATTTAGTGTACTTTTATTGAGAAATTTATATGCAAGATGAATTAGAGAACCCAAGAGTATCCAATCAGCAGTCCCGTTATTAGAAAATGGGCCTTAAAGTTCTTTAAATAAGCCCATTTTAAGCCCATTGGGTTTGAGACCCGAATCTTCGAAGAAATCTGAATATCCCATGACAAACGAACATTTAATAATTTGTTGTTTTTTTCTCATGGGCTCTCAATTTATGCTATTTTTTTTATTAAAATAAATTTAACTGGGGATAATCAGAACTAAAAATTATAAAAGAAATATACCCGTAAAAAAGTCAAAACTAAAAAATCATATGTTTGGCCCACAATCTTAATATATTTTTATATTTTTTTTATTAATGATCAATTCGTCGCTTTATACGTCACAATTGAATTGTAAGTTACAATATTTATTTCGGGAGACATCGATATTACTGATACAAATCATAAATACTAAAATTAGAATAATTGTAAACCCTGGTAATATAAGAAAAAAGGTATATAGTCAGAATCTGCAAACTACGCGTGGTTGGTTTTCAAGATGACGAAAGTAACCTCAGTTGCCTAAGTGGTAATATCTGATTGGTCCACATAAACCCCCAAAACCCTAACTCCTCTGGCCCCTCACCAACATATACATCACACCGTTAGGGTTTTAGCCAATTCTCTTCAGTTGGAACGGAAGGGGAGAGAGACGAGCCGAAATCCTCTGTCGCTAGGGTTATATTTAGGAATTAGGGTTCGTCAAGGGTGGTGGAGTGAAGCGAAAATGGTCGCGGACAAGAACAAGAAGGCAAAAACAGAGGAGAAGCCCCAAGAGGATAACGCTGAGCAAATCGACGGAGAGCTTGTTCTCTCCATTGAAAAGCTTCAGGAGATTCAAGATGAGCTCGAGAAGGTGAAACCCATTTTCTTATTTGGACTTATCGCTTTTCGAAATTTGGGGATTTCTCGTTGCTAGTGAACTTCCTGTGCCCTGTATTTGCCTGGTTAATGAGCAATTGAAATTGTTGGTCTTATGATTTTTGTTCCTGAATTTGTCATTTTGTTTGAAATTCGAATTGGGTTTGAATTAGTGCTGACACAATTTCCCTTTAATGTTGTTTTGTTGCTTGATTTGGACGAATAATGATGCTGTGTTGATAATTATGCCTAAATTTGTTATCTTTATTTGTAAACTTGTGAATTTTACATAAAAGATTTATTTTTCTACGTGTTAGATCGAGTTTTTGTAGCTATTGAGAGGCAATTTAAGTTGATTTTAAAAAAAAAATCCGAAACTTTATATGACCTGCGTTTGGGGTTGGGTGTAATATCACGGTGAATCTGAATGGTAGAAAAGTACGATTAGATACGAAATAGTTGGGATTTTAGATATGCTGATCCATGATCAATAGCTGAATGGATACTCTGTTTTCTTCATTTCTAACTGGCTTGTACTGCTACATGTTTCAACCCCTGTGGCAGGCCCCCGAGATTTGCTTCTACTTGTTTCTGTAGAGAAATTAGTTGAAAAGATCATAATTTCAAGAATTTATAGATTGTCAAGACCATATCGTACTCTAAGAAGAATGCTTAAGGGTCTATAGATTTCTCCCGTTTCAGGGGAACAAACAAGATTGTACCATTTGCAATTTGTTTTCATCGTAGAAGGAATTTAGATAAGTGGACCGTTTTTCATGGTTAGAGTGGTTTACGGTGTTCGTTTGCTTATACCATAAACCTGAAACAGACGTTTAAGCTCGATTGTACGACGGAATTGAATTTTACTCTTTGTATCTGCAATTTCTTCCATTTTCAGATAAATGAAAAGGCTAGTGATGAGGTCTTGGAAGTGGAGCAGAAATATAACGAGATACGCAAACCTGTTTATGACCAACGCAATGAAATTATCAAATCGATCCCGGACTTCTGGCTAACTGCTGTAAGTTCTCCTTGAGTCCTCTCTATGTATTTTCAGTTGTTGTTTAGAACATCATCTGCTAATTGGCTGTTTCCACTCTTTGCAGTTCCTGAGTCACCCTGCTTTAGGCGAACTATTGACAGAAGAGGACCAAAAGGTTATTTTTTTAATTGTCTCAGTGTGCCTTAGAAAATCCTTGTATTTCTTTTTTCACACAGCATAAAATGTATCCAAATTTTCATTTCATTCTCCTATTTTTTGGACTGTCATCTTGCTTCACGTCTTAGATTCTTCATTCAATTTTCTTATCCTACAGATATTTAAGCATTTAAGCTCTTTGGAGGTAGAGGATGCCAAAGATGTCAAATCTGGATACTCTATAACTTTTGTAAGAACCTCTATCTAGCCTCATTGCTTATTGTGTCATTAACATTAATTTCCAATGCCATTGATCCAAGAAGACCGGTCTAGGTTTAGTTTATCTGTGTGCTAACTAACCCATCATTGTTAATTTGCTTGGGCGTTTCAGCATTTTAATTCCAACCCCTATTTTGAGAACGCCAAACTTACGAAGACGTTTACCTTCCTTGAAGAAGGAGCGACGAAAATCACAGTGACACCAATCAATTGGAAGGAAGGCAAGGTAAAACATATTCTTTATTACATAATGCAGGCGCCTTCCTACTTAATTTGTCTTAAGTCTTAACTTGTTATTATTATTCTAAACAATATTCCTCATTTCTGAAGGGCTTACCGAATGGAGTTAATCATGAGAAGAAAGGGAACAAACGTGCCTTAGCCGAGGAGAGGTATTTTATTGTCTACCCGTCAAGCGATTTTGTGCTGAGGGCAGAATGTATATTATGAAACTGTAACTTTCTTGTTAGGAATTTCATATCTTTCTACTCATTCAGACTACTTTCTGTTTAGCTTCTTTACCTGGTTTACTGATGCTTCACCCAAGGAGGATGCCGATGATGAGATTCATGATGAGGTATGCGTTTGGCTGTCTTATCGTAATTTTTTCTCTATGTCCAGTCTGTTCAGTTTGAATTTTGATATATCTTCTTTTTTCAGGTTGCAGACATCATCAAGGAAGATTTGTGGCCCAATCCCCTCACCTACTTCAATAATGTAAATAATTTTGCTAAATTTCTGTCCTCTTCATTTCCATTTTTAGGTGAGGAAAGTTGCCTGAAGAATTTACTAATGATGACGTTATGATGCAGGAAGAGGATTTTGATGGAGATGAGGATGGTGATGAAGAGGTACGTTTCATCAATATGTCAACTAACATGCTCTCTCTCTCTCTGTCTCTTTTTGGTTGAAATGCTTTAGCACTTCTGATGTATTGCGTCGAATTTATTCACGGGCTTTTCTCATTTTCCGATGCGCATGATAACACAATGATTATAAGTACATTGGTTTATTCGATAGTTGGTTCTATCTTGAGAGGGTACCATGACCTGACCTTCTCATGTGTCAGGTTTCTTGTTGTGTTCCATTTTTTAAAGTCCTCAATTTCATAACTTTTTCTTGTACCGTATCCAGGGAAAGGAAGATGACTCGGATGATGATGATGACGAAGAAGATGAGGATGGTGATGAATGATGGGAGACCCATATTATCACAATGCGCTTTCATGCTTCGATAACAGATGTGTAAAGTTGATGTTATGAAGGATTAATTTACCGATGCTATCGCGACGAAGCATCTCTATCTTTCCGAATACTTAGTATCTACCGAAATTAGCTACAGCTTCTTGTATGAACCATTTAGCCATGTTAGCCAATCCTTCCATGGCTTCGGCTTTGACATAATTACACCATTTCCTAAAAAGGGTTTGTCTTTTTTGCTGCGTTTTGATCTAAGCATTGATCTCTCTCGCCTCTTGTTGTTTCCCTGTTTCAGTATTAAATTCTTGTGGCAGCAGCCTTGGTGAAGCCACAGATTGCAGAGGAGTCTTCATGTAAGAAACTAATCCTGGATTTTCGGTCATGTCGATGTGATCTCCAGGAATTGATTTCCACGAGAAGCGATGCAACAGATGGCCGAGCATCAATGCCATCATGTTGATGCTGAGTTGTGCAGCTGGGCAGGCTCTTCGTCCCGAACCAAATGGAAGAACCCTAAAGTCTTGGCCTTTCACATCGACATCCTCCCCGAGAAACCGCTCTGGTTTAAACTCGTTGGGGTTTTTCCAGTTTGCGGGGTCACGGCCCACCGCCCAGACGTTGACGTAAATGGTGGTTCCCTTGGGAAGATCATAACCTCCGATCCGGACCGAAGCACTGGCCTTGTGAGGAAGCATCAATGGCGTTGGTGGGTGTAGCCTTAGAGCTTCTTTCACTATACCCTGAAGGTAAGGCAAGTTCATGATGTCTGCTTCAGACATAAGCCTGTAGTGACCAACCACTCTGTCCAGCTCCTGTTGTGCCATTTGTTGTGCCATCGGGTGTCTGATCAGCTCGGCCATGGCCCATTCAACCGTGATCGCAACCGTGTCAGCCCCGGCTGTTAACATGTTCCAGATCAGCCCGACCACCGTCTCTTCGCTCAGCTCACGGTTCCCTTGCAAGGCGAGTAGTTTCTGAGCAAAACCCTTTTGCTGATTTCCCTTATCTTCCTCCACTACAGCTCCATGGAACCAAGCTCTTCTCCGAGCCAGGTGCTTCGATAACGCTTTATCGATGTTAATCAACTTCGGAACCCATCTGAGCCACCAAACGTAATCGAACAACGGTATCACCGAGCTCAGTTTTGTCTGGTTTTCCACGATAAACTTGAACTCTTGTCCTTTCTCGGGATCCATCCTTTTCCTGAGGACTAACCTCGAAACGTTGTTCAAAGCAACATTTCCGAGATACTTCCTCAGCACGAGTTTCTTACCGTCAGACGAATTCAAGGCCTCGAAAATGGATTCAGCCATTGCTTCTGCCTCGGCTTCTCTTACTGATCTGAAGGATTCAATGCTCCTGGGGGAGAAGAGTTCAACTGTACATAGTTTCCTCACCTTGACGTAGTGAGGACCGTAATCGGCCCAGATAAGATCGCTGCCGTTATGAGACATTTTTGCAGCGGCTAGGCCACGTGGTCGGTGGGCCAAGACGTAGTCCTCGTCTTTCAGAACTTGTTTGGCCAAGCCCGAGCTCGAGACCACCACGTTGAGCTGCGAACCGAACCATACGGATATGATGGGGCCGTAGGTTTGGGACCACTCGGAGAAGCTACGCGTCCAGAGGGGCTTCATTTGGTGGAGGTTCCCGACGAACCACTGCGGTGGTGGGCCCGGAGGGAGGTTGAGCGGCTGTTGCCAGGGATTCCATCTCCGGTGGCGCGTGATGATCACGACGGCGGTGATGGTGATTGATGAAATAAGCAGCAGGAGCATAAGCATCATTTGTGTGTGACCATTCAAAAGAGAAGAATTGGTAAATTAAAAAATAAAACTCTCTCAAAGTTGTGAAATATTTTTATTTTATTTTCTTTAGGTGTGTGGTTGAATTCTTATAGAATTCCAAGCATCGAAAGAGGGAATCGCAACAATGTGATTCATCAACGTCACCATTTGGTTCCTGTAAACATGCCCCCACACTCTTTGCATTTCTTAATTGGATAAATAAAAATAAAATAAAATCTTCCAATTTTTTCAAAGTAAAAAAATTAATACTTATTTTTTTCTACATACCAAACGCAATGGATATTGTTTATAACATTGTATTTGGTATCTTCCGTTTGGTACAAAAATTGGTTTCTCTATTTTTTCAACGTATATTTAACATTTTTTTGTTTAATCAGAAACAATATTAAAATGATGTTTTATATCATACCAACATTTATAGTTAAATAGTTCATAATGTTGTACACGGCATCACTAAAGTAGGCACATGCTTAGGTCTAGATTAGTCTAAATCAATAATATTTTGAAATAAACACCTTTTTCAATTACATAAAAAAAATGTATATTATTTTTGGATTTTTCCTATTAAATGACCGGAGCTTTTATATATTCGAATTTTTATCCACGTTACGGTTCCAATTTAGTAAAGTGCTGAGTCAAAAAAAAAGCTATGGCTTAAAATAATATTGTTTATATTATTATATATGGAGTATTTATCCCAATAAATTATAATAAAATTCTATTTAATATTAAGATTTTGAAGATTTAATCTGGTAATATAGTTAAAATATCTTTGTCAACTTTTTTTTCGATTTGAGACATATCCATTCTTCAGTAAATATTTCTTGGATCTTCTGTTATATATTTTTATATATATGATTTCCCAGATATTAATGTTTATTGATATAATAAGGAGGATTTATTATGAGTTATTAAATTATCCAAAGAACTATTGTTTGAATTAATGCACAAAGAATCGGTGTATATTGAGATAGTTTTTGAAATTTAATTGTTGCATAACATCATCATTATAATTAATTTTATCTTTCAAGTGTCCAATTAATGATTCATGAATAACAAAAAAAAAATGACAGTGGCACACAAATTATTGAACATTGAAAAGCAACTTTGGTCCATAGCTAAGGGTCAGTTTTTTTTATAAAAAAAAAAATTGATATCTCGGATTTGAATATGTGAACAATTTACATGCGAAAAAACCAATTTTTATTTGTGAAATTGTGTATTTGAACATCTGAACAATATGAACATTGAGCACTTATAGTAACTCACAACGTTTTAATCTAAAAATGGAAAAAAGAGAGCAACTTAACAAGTTTGATAATTTAATGAAGTACTTAGTGAAATGCCCAACTCTCAGATCTGAGATCCGATTGCTAACCCGACAAAGAAAAATATCCGAAAGAAAATGGTTTGAAGATTTAATGCAAATCTAACCTGAATAATCCGACAGTTCCAAGGAGAGTGTTCTTGGCGACAAAGCAAAAGGGCCTCACTGAATGAGATTTTGTTCTTTCGTGAGAGTACAGTGAGAATCATGCGATTGCGAAGGAGAAGAAGCCATGGCGATGACGTCGACGATTAGGGCAAGGAATTGGAGGGTCGCTGCTTTACTCTGGACTCTCTGTTTCGCTCTCTTTTACTCTCTCTTCCAAATGGGTCTTCGAAATTCTTCATCTTCATCATCTTCTTCAGGTAAATTTGTTTTCTTTTTTTGAATCAGCACGTTCTTTTCTTTTTTTGGGTTTCCCATTCTCGGCGGAGCATTGATATTTCCGTTTCTGCTCTGTTAATTAGTAATTATTAAATCTTATCGTTTGACCCTAGTTTTCGTCGATCTGGGTTTCGCGTGAGGAAGATCAAATCTGTTGACTCGCTGACCCAAGATTCATGGGCATGAGTATTTTTTTATGGATTTCTTAATCAAGTTGTATTATTTATATTATATACGCTTGGTTGAATCAAAAGTCATTTGTAGTCTCGGAGATGTGTTTCTGTCTGAATTTTTATTGGATCTTGAGTTGAAGTGTTAATTTCGAAAGCGTTTTAGGAACTAAGTAACGAGAAGAATTCTAATAGGATAACGTGGTTCAGGTGACAATCTCCGCGATTGGGGGAAGTTTTCTATTGTTGAGATCAAGTGTTGGATTGAGTGTCTGGATATATTAATTTGTTTATCCTACGCTTGAAGAACACTCAACATGTCTTTCTTTTGTGATCGAAGGAAGCCTTCAGACATGTTTAGTTCATAAGATTATGTTTCTGGGATCATAGTATTGCAGGATGTTTCATGGTTGAAATGTAAAACATTATCGTTCCTATTATATGATTAGGGCGGGGAATTTCCATCTGGGTTCATTCAAAACCCGGGTTGGATAGGTTGGCAAGTGGTCAGTGCCACTTACCTTGCATCTAGGAACACTGGCTTACACATCGCTCGTATTTCTAGGATCTGTTCTTGAGTAATTAGGCCAATCAGCAGAACTTGGAATCCTACTTTTCTCCTGTTTAGATTTTGCGGTATGGTTGGTATGTTTTGGTTTTCTTCCGTGCTTTCAGAGTGTCAAGTGTGTTACTCGTCAATCATTTCATTCCATTTTCCCCTAATGTACTTTTGGAGCATATGCTTGATTGGAAGGTTACTGATTCTTGTGTTAGGCATGCATATACTGATAGTAATCTGTGAAATTTTTTATCTTTCAGAAGCTTTTGACGCATATGTGGAGCGAAGTATGAGGTTGTATGATAAAATGGAGCAGGACATAGAGGAGAAAGGACCAGTTTTCCTTAAACTGGGTGAAACAACCCAGTCATTGTCACTCTCAGATCTCTTCACATTGAAAGATGGAAAGATATCACCTGTTCTGAGGGTAAAAATGAAATATTTTACTATTATGAAAGTTGCTTCACAGCTAATAGGATGTAATAAACCATGAGCAATCTTGCTTGAGAAAGGTTCTTTCGATGCTTAATGCCCGTGCTACTGGATATGGATTGAGCTTTCACTAATACCAGTTTGCTCTTGTATAGGTTGCAAACCCACCTGTCCGGGCTAATGTATTGTATCTTAACACAAAGTACTCTGTGCCAATCTCGTGAGTGTGTATTTCATATCTCTTTCTCAGTGCAATCTCGCAAAGCTGATTGTTTGTCTGGTTCTTACTACTGTACAGTTCCTTCAACTCCCTAAAGATATTCTTTCATGTCTTTTCATTGCAGGGATGCTGTAAAGAGTGTGTTCAGTCCGTACTTTGACAATAGTAAGGATGCCATATATTTCCTCTGAACAATTTCTGAAAATCGTATAAGATTATTAGCTGCAGATATATGATTTTGATAATTGATATGTACGTGTGTATGTATGTGCATGCATATATGTGATTTTCATGTATATGTGCATGTTCATGTTTATATATTATCTTCTTATTCTTGTTGCTTTAGCAATCTGGTTTCAGGACTCTAAGCTATACCACTTCAGCATGTTTCATGCATCACATCACATCGCGTCTGTTTCAGCTTCTGAAGACGAGGTTGTAGTGCTCACCAGAACCTTGTTGATGTTCTTAGCTTGACGAGGTTGAAAATTTGGATATGTTCCTTGCGCGAAAAATCGCAGCCTGACTGACTAATGTTCTTACAATGCGATCAGGTTGAAGCTGAAGCAGCTGCTGTCAAAGCAGTTGCTAATGGGATGTGTCCTTTGGAGGTTGTCTTGGATAGAGTTATTTTAACTTCTACCGGTGTTCTTCTCGGCTGCTGGAAGGTAGCTAATGTGAGTTTTCACTATCCATTTCTCTGTTCCTCCCAATGTCCGAGTTTTTTTTTATTAGGTCACACGGTTTTTAATCTAAATTATGTAAATGTTGCTATGGTGAATGTGGGTTAAATCTCTATCTTTTTTACCTCTTATGCTACACGGGAATTCCTTTCCCATGGCAGAGCTAAGATTCTTGCCTCTCGGGGCAGTTACTTTTGCACATCTCCTATGGTCTCTATATCCATGCTTGGTACGTATGTTTTATTTAAATATTGACTATTTGGTATTACTGATCTCGGATGAGTAGACAGATGTGTGATGTTGCATATAATTTCGACAACTCGATGTGTCTTGACAGGCAACTAATGAACACATGCTTCACTAGTTATCTTATTCTTATGTATGTGTGGAAGATTTGAGTCAAAGCAAGTAGCCAAGAAACATTGTGGTTTATGTTTGGACTGAATCCTTGAGCCCCAATGTTATTTTAGCCGTTTTGTCTTTGTATAGGCTGTTTCTGGTGATGACCCGATAACAATCCGGTCCAAATTGAGGTCTGCGCTTCCACGTGCACCGGAGAAGCAGCTCGTAAGTAGTAAAAAATTAGTCGTCTCTTTTAAGATAAGATCTTGAGTTGTATTCCTCGTGAACATGACGATGCTCTGGTTTTTTTTTCTTGCCTTGAGGTATCTTTTCTTTGACCGCCCTCTCATCTCAGCTGTGTTTGTTGTAGTATGATGCAGCCATTCTCCATACATCATTGGCAAGATTGCTCGGCCCTCCTAAATCTCCAAACCCGGCAAGTCCTTGTCCTGTCTCTCGTTGTTCTCGGAGTTTCTGTTCACCTAATCTCTTTCAAAAGTGCCCGTATCATTGTTTTCCGTTTCTTGTGCAGACAGAAACCTCAGAACATATGCAGCTTCTCCGTGAACTGGTCACCAGACTAAACACCCAAATCCGGGGATTTAAGGTATGTCCCAGAACTCACCAAAGAATGCCGGATTTTGAAGAACATGGCGTTTCTTGATCATTCCGATATTGAAGGGCATTTGCCAAAAATCGAATCTTTAAGCTTTTGGGGGTGTGTGTGTGTATATATATATATACAGGCAGTGGTATCAGAGCTGTGGAACGTGGAAGAGCACGACGTTCTGGCACTGGCGTTGGGCGGGAGGATGAAGGTCAGATCTTTCCCTCTCGGCTGCCAAGAGAGCTAAAGTCTTTCTGCTTCAGCGATCATCGCCACCACCCTCAAGTACATCCAATCTTGATTTCCCTTTGCTATTTATGTGACCTTCCTTTCTTTTTTTTGTCGTGATTGTGATAAATACTAGTTACGTGCATGGAGGTTCCAAAGGAGAATGGCGTCGTGGCATAATAAGACAGACGGAGTTAAGGACAAGACTAAAGTGTAATGCGCTTTATCATGATTACGAACAATTGCCACACTTTTTTATATATATAAAAAAAATGATCAACTCACTAGTAAGAAATACGGTATTAATCAGATTTAATTTTTTTTAAAACATGATTTGGCGGATCTAAAACACGACTTTCCACGTCACTTTGTTAGGTATCCAGCCACTGGAGACAACATCACGTGAAAGATTCCTCTGTGGAATCGAAACTTTTATTTCGAATTTTGAAAGCTTGTGACAAATGTTGACGAGATAAATTTAATTAAGAGAATATAATTTAAATAAAACAATAGGCGATTAAAAATGACAATTGGATGATAGTATCCATAATTAATTGTTTGATATGGCCAGCCGTAGCGCATTACCTACTTGTTCTATATTTTTGACGCTTAATTGACCTTTCTGGCATCATCAATGGAGTCTGATCACCTTCCTCTGTGCCCCAACGCTCGGTTTGAGATCAACTCCGAAAAAGATGGATATCGCCCAGTGGTGACGGCGAATGGCTGTACTGGCGAGAGAATGGAGACGAGCTTCGAGTCTTTTGGCTCTTCTCATACCGTACGCCCTCTCCTACGCTGCAACAGCAAAATCCGCAACTGGGTGGAGTTAGGGTGCGGCTGTTGTGGTCGTGTCGGCAACGACTACACCTATTACTTCTGCCATGAATGCGACGAGAGCTTCCACAGAGAATGCGTGGAGTCTCCACCTGAGATGAACCACCCTTACCATCCCAGACACCAACTCCGTCTCTTCTTCTTTTCCGAATCACCCCGAATCTCATGCCATTGTTGCAGATTACTGCCCCCGGGTTTCATCTATCTCTGCTCGATTTGCGACTTCACCATGGATGCGATCTGTGCGAAGAAACGACCACTCCTCGCCATAGACCACCCGAAAATTCACGAGCACACGCTCTCCCTCTTCCCCAGGCAAGTTTCCTTTACCTGTAATGCATGTGCCCTCGTCAACGACGATGGCTGGCCTGTATACGTCTGCCTCCGATGCGATTTCATGATCCACAGAGACTGTATCTATCTGCCACGTGTCATCAAGATGTCCCGCCACCCCCACCGCCTCGCCTACTCGCATGCTCTTCCTTCCGGGGAGCCATCATCCTGTGGAGTTTGTCGCCGAGAGGTTAACATTGAGTTTGGAGGGTACACCTGCACAAAGGGCTGCTCTAACTTTGTTGCTCATTCGAAATGTGCGACGAGGAGAGATGTGTGGGACGGGAAAGAACTCGAGGGAGTACCCGAAGACGCAGATGCAATGAAAGACGTCGACCCTTTTGAGCAGATAGGGGAAGGGATAATATGCCATTTCAGCCATAGACACCATCATCTGAGAATCAACGAGGAGAGTCGTGTTTACGACGACAGCAGGTTCTGCCGGGCGTGCACCCTTCCTGTCCATTACGATGGCGGATTCTACAGCTGCATGCAATGTGATTTCACTCTCCATGAAAGATGTGCGAATCTTCCACGCAAGCTTCATCATCCGCTACATCCACATCCCTTTACCCTGCAAATCGACAACATCGGTGACTGGTTCGGCACAGGCTGTTTCATGTGTAATATCTGTCAGAGAAGTTGTTCTGGGTTCATGTACCAGTGTCCTGACGAGGATTGTGATTTCAAACTCGACGTAAGGTGCGCCTCCATCTCTGAACCATTTTCATTCGACGGCCATCTGCATCCCCTCTTCCTAACTTCGAGCCCAGGAACCACAAGTTCATGCCAGGTTTGCCGTTCAGAAGAAAGAAAGGTGCTGAATTGCATCGAATGCGACTTCACTCTGTGCATCAAGTGCGCTACTCTACCGTATAGGATAAAATACAAGCACGACGGCCATTTGCTCGCACTCGGTTATGGCGACGAGGCAAGTGGCATATACTGGTGCGAGGTTTGCGAAGAAGAAGTGAACCCGGAAGGTAAGCTATACACTTGTGATGAGTGCTGCCTCACTCTTCACGTCGACTGCGTGTTCGGGGTGGACAGTTATATAACGCCCGGCCAGACCATAGTTTACAAGTCTTTGGAGGTCGAGACTCTTCCCAACAACCGTGTTTGCCGACCGACTTGCAAGGTTTGCTGCCGTCGTTGCCAACACCGCATCGTTTTCAAAGCTTTACCGTCTCGATATGTATTCTGCTCTTTGGATTGTTTCTTGGATTTTAATAGAATTTGACCGCATGAAAGCTTTCATCTTTGAAGTCACGCCTCCATCATGTGCTGGGCGATTTGTTTATGTTTAATCTTGTTTAAAATTAGTAATATTTTTTTTTATATTATTGAATTATCCGTCACATTAATTTGTGTTTAAATGTTGAATTATAACTTTATATTTGTACGTCTTCGTATTTGACTAGGTAAGGCGGGCTAACCTCATAAATCGACAACAATTATTTTTTTTTTATATAGTAAAACAACGTGACTTAGATTAAATACTATTTTTTTTTAAATAATAGCAGCCACCAAACGAAATACCAAAACATAAAATTAGGATTTTGTAATTTATTATTGATGAAAAATAAAATAGAATAAAGGGAGTTAGAAAGAAGGATGGGTATTTTGTTTTAATTATTATGTTTTGTTTTCTAGAGTGGCCAGCTGAGTGAGTCACGTGTTAAGATGCGCAATGTACGGCTTAATTTCAGGTTTAAATTTTATAATATGCGGACCATTCATCTGTTTTATTTAGGAATAGGATTATTAATTAATTCCGGCTTGCACGATACCGATTTAATTACGTTAATTTACATAATTAACGATTAAATTTGTATTGCCAGATATATATTAATTTAATTACAGAATTAACGATTTTGTAATTTGTATATATATATATATATAATTCTAAAAAATAGACAGTGCTGTGGAAAATAATAAGTCAAATTTTGCAGAACCGTCATGAACATGAAACATAACTTGCAGCTACATAAAAATACAGAACATTGATTTGATTTTTTTTTTTTACATGTAGAATATACAATAATATTTGTATATGAAATAATGAAAGACAATGGAACAGAAGAAATTAGTGTGTCAGAGGAAAAATATATAATTTAAAACATAACCACGCCTTTTCTTTTTTAATTTGTGGGTCCATCACAATCAGTACACAGCAAACACTTGCACAAGATTACAATATCTGACAGCCTGTGGGTAACATTTTTATAACAAAAATAATAAATAAATATGGAAAGATATTACGAGATCTGAGAGTGTATCGCCCATGGAGTTTGAGCAGCTTCCTCTGTGCCCTGATGCCCGATTCAAGATCTATTTCCGACAATACGAAGACGAAGACGAAGATGGTTGTGTCATGGTCGGCAGCCGTCGTTGCTACGAAGTCGAAAATAGCTTCGAATCCGGTGGTTCCTCTCATACGGTACGTCCTCTCCTCCGTTGCTGGAACAAAAACGATGTCACGGATGCATATTGTCGGAATTGTGAAAGAAGAGGATCAGACGAAGAAGATGATATCTATTACTTTTGTAATAATGGCAACGTAATCTACCACAAAGAATGCGTGGAGTCTCGACATGAGATCAGACAACACCCTTATCATCCGAAACATCCGCTTCAGCTCCTCTGGACTTTCGATGATGCCCCCATCCCATGCTATTTCTGCAGGCGGAACGTCGGCCGGTCGTTTTACCGTTGTTCCACCTGCGATTTCTCCATGGATCCGGTCTGTGCGAATAAGCCGGCGCTCCTTTCCGTCGACCGCCGGAAAAGCCACGAGCATCCGGTCGCCCTCTTCTTGCCCAGACGCGTTTCTTTTACTTGCAATGCGTGCGGTCTCGGCAACGATGGATGCTCTGTGTATCTCTGTCTCAGATGCGATTTCATGATCCATATAGATTGCGTTTATCTACCATTCGTCATCAAGATATAACACCGTCTCTCTCGCACTTACGATCTTCCTTCCGGAGATTTGTCTTGCGGAGTTTGTCATCTGGTGGTTAACAACGATTACGGGGGTTATTCTTGCACAAAGGGGTGCTCCAGTTACGTCGCTCACGCGAAATGTGCCACGGGAAAACACGTGTGGGACGGGAAAGAACTCGAGGGAGTACCCGAAGACGCTGACATATTAAGGGATGTTGAGCCGTACGAGGTAATAGGGGATGAGATAATACGCCATTTCAGCCATAGACATCATCATCTGAGACTCAACGAAGAAAGTAGTATTTACGATGAAAGCAAATTCTGCCAGGCGTGCGTTCTTCCCATCCATCATGATGGTAGATTCTACAGTTGTACACTGTGTGATTTCATTCTCCATGAAAGATGCGCTAATCTTCCTCGCAGATTGCAACATCATCTGCATCGCCATCCGCTCACTCTGCAGTCCTACAATATTGGTTATGAACACTTTGGCAGGGCAGGGGTTTTCAAGTGTGACGCTTGTGCCCGATATTGCAATGGCTTCATGTACACATGCCCAGAAGAGGGATGCGATGGTTTCGGTCATATGTACGTTGCGCCGCCTCGATTTCCGAACCGTTTAGGTTTGAAGCCCATCCGCATCCCCTCTACCTCAGTGACCCAGCTGCCGAACATGGTCCATGCATGGTTTGCGGATTGAATGGAATAGATACGTTAAAATGTTTTGAGAAACACTGCTTCGGTTCAAGAGTCTGTTTATGCTTTCAATGTGCTACTCTACCGTACAAGATCAAATACAAGCACGATGACCATCTGCTCACTCTTCGTCACGGCGAAGAAGAGGAGGCAAATGGCGTATACTGGTGCGAGGTTTGCGAAGGAGAGGTGAACCCCGAAGGGAAATTCTATACGTGAGATGACTGCTGCCTCACTCTTCACGTCGAATACGTGTTCGGGAGAGATCCCTATTTCAAGCCCGGCCATACCGTGTCGTTTCAGGAACACGAGAGCGAGATTCTTCCCAATGGTCATGTTTCTCGTCCGGTCTGCATCTCTTGTGGCCGTCGCTGCCAGTACCGGGTAGTTCTCAGATTTGTACCATCCGATCAAGATGTATTTTGTTCATACATTTGTTTCGTGAAGTTTCTTTATCCTCCCCGCTTAACATACATAATGGAAGATGAAATTTAGTGACTGACTGTATCACTTCTATTAAACCCTTGTCTTCTTGAGGATTCAAGAACCAAAAACGGCGCCGTCTCACTAAAAGTAGTATTACATAACGTCAAATTAAAAAAAAAAGGTGAAAATAATGAAATAAAACCATGATCATGAATGATCTATGAGAAGAGATGGCACGCTCGTAAAAAGTATTATCCATGATCATGAATTCAAATTTTTATATAATAACACGACGTGACTAGATTAAATAATACTATTTTTTAATAAAATATTGGCGGTCACAAGGAAATACAAAAAATATAAAATTAGAATTTTGTAGTTATTATCGATGAAAATAAAATAGAATAAAGGGTGATGGCTATTTTGTTTTCATTATTTTATTGTTTTCTCGAGCTGGACAGGTAAGTGAGTCATGTGTTAAGATCCGCTAGAACTAAATAATATGCGGACCAGTCATCTATTTTTATTTAGGTATAGAATTTTTAATTAATTCGGGTTGCAATGATTACGATAATTTACAGCATAAATAATTATGATAATACTAAATATATATTAATTCAATATTAGAGAATTAAACCCTCAAATAACATATAATTCTAAAAAAAATAGAAAGTGATGTAGAAAATAAAAACCAGATTTTGCAAAACCATCACGAAATATAACTTGCAACTGTACAAAAATATAGAACACTAATTTGAATTTCTGTACATGTAGAATACCATTTGTATTTTAAAATAAAGAAAGACAATGGTGCATGGAAATTAGTGTGAGAGAGAAAAATATATTATATAAAGGATAATTTTGCAATTCTAAAAGATAGTTTGAAAAAAAAATCATTTTTATCACTTTTTTTGCCCTGCAAATAACCTAAAATTTCGTTCCTGGAAAGAGTCTTAATTTTTTATTTTATATAAAACAAAATCTAATTTAAAGGCTAATAATTTCGCTGTCCGGAAAAAAAATTATAAGTATATTTTTAAAATTAAATTTTTGTGGTCAAACTTAGCAATTAAATCACCCACCAACTGGGCTGGAATATTCTGCTTAAATTATTTCGAAGAAACATGGATGGAGCCGAGAGATTAAAATAAAATAAAATAAAATAGGAAGCTGTAGGTTGCAGACCAACATTATTGTAAAGACTAGCAAAAAAGAAGAAGAAGAAATGGATTCCATGACGAGATCTGAGAGGGCTTCATCCACAGAGTTTGAGGAGCTTCCTCTGTGCCCTTACGCCCGGTTCACGATCAACTCCGAAAAGGATGGATCGCGCGAGGTGAAGTGGCCGGGTGGGTATCGTTGCTACATGGTGGACACGGGCTTCGAGTCAGGCGGCTCCCGTCACTTCGTACGCCCTCTCCACCGGTGCCATAACAAGAACGCTCCCGCCGGGGAGGATTCATACTGTCATCAATGCGGACGAGATGGAGAAGATGAAGACGATCTCTATTGTTTTTGTGATGAATGCAACAGAATCTTCCACAGAGAATGCGCGGAATCTGCAACTGAGATCAAACACCCTTACCATCCCAAACATCGGCTTCAACTACTCTGGAACTCCGGTCGACCCCACAAGCTGTGCTATTGTTGTAGACGAGAAATGGGTACGTCGTTCTACCATTGTTTCGCGTGTGATTTCAGCGTGGACACGATTTGTGCTAAAAGGCCGGCGCCCCTTGTTATAGACCACCCAAAATGTCATGAACATCCACTCGCCCTCTTCTTCCCTAGGCAGGTTTCTTTTAGCTGTAACGCATGCGCTCTAGGCAACGACGGCTGCTCTGTTTATTTGTGCCTCCAATGCGATTTCATCATCCACAGAGATTGCATTTCTCTACCGCGAGTCATCAAAATATCCCGTCACCCCCACCGCCTCTCTCACACTTACGATCTTCCTCCTGGAGCATTGTCCTGCGGAGTTTGTCATCTAAAGATGAAGAAGGACTGTGGAGGGTATTCTTGCACAAGGGACTGCTCCACTTATGTTGCTCATGCGAAATGCGCCACGAGAAGAGATGTGTGGGATGGGCAAGAACTCGAGGGAGTACCGGAAGACGCTGATGTGTTAAGAGATGTCGAGCCGTACGAGGTAATAGGGGATGGGATAATATGCCATTTCGGCCATAGACACCATCATCTTAGACTCCACGAAGAAAGTAGAATTTACGATGAAAGCAAGTTCTGTCAGGCGTGCACGCTTCCTATCCATCGTGACGGTAGATTCTACAGTTGCGTGCAATGTGATTGCATTCTCCATGAAAGATGTGCTAATCTTCCCCGTAGATTACAACATCCGCTACATCCCCATCCGCTAACCCTACATGCGGACCGAACAGAGCTTTTCCAATGTGAGACATGTGTTCGATTATGCTGTGGCTTCATGTACGCCTGTCCTGAACAGGGGTGCGATGGTTTCAGTCTAGATACGCGTTGCGCCGCCTCGATTTCCGAGCCATTTAGGTTCGAAGGCCATCCACATTCTCTCTACCTTAGCGACGTTGGGAAATCTCCATGCATGGTCTGCCGAAGAAGGATATCAGGCCTTGTTTACGGAGGACGAACAATAGGCATGCTGAGATGTTTTGAGAAAGGCTGCCTAAGTAAGTGCGTCAGCTTGTGCTTCCAGTGTGCCACGCTACCGTACAGGATAAAATACGAGCACGATGACCATTTGCTCGCCCTTCGTTGCGCCGAGAAAGAAGAGGCGAGTGGCTTATACTGGTGCGAGGTTTGCGAAGGAAAGGTAAACCCAGAAGTTAGGTTCTACACTTGTGATGAATGCTGCCTCACTCTTCACGTTACCTGCGTGTTCGGGAGAGATCCATATATGAAGCCTGGCCAAACTGTATCGGTTCACGATCGTAAGATTGACATTCTTCCCAATTATAATCGCAGCATTTCTCGTCCGATCTGTAACACTTGCGGCCATCGCTGCCAATACCGCCTTGTTTTCAATGTTCATCAGTCTCAAGGTATATTTTGTTCTTTCCGCTGTCTCCCGTAACTAAAATATTTCGCTTTGATCAAAGGTGAGATGATTCAACTCGTAAACGGCGAGACAAAGTTCATTCCCAATCCAGGTTCGAGTTTTTATTTGTGGAGAGACATTTACATGGGTTTTTCCGATTCTCGGATACGTAATTGGATCAGAAATCCGGTGAACTTCCGGAATACAAAAAAAAAAAAAATCGGTTTGAAGGCCTCGCCAAACTAGTATATATTTGTGTTCTCTATATGTATTTACCCTTCTCTTGTTTTTATGTCTAATAAGCTTGTTGTCCAAAAAGGCATGGTTGTGTTTCATAAGGTCCATTAATCGAGTTTTCATTTGATGTTTTATTAGTGAAATTTATAAAAGGTTTCCTCCCTTGTTTTCAGATTCATAATATATGGAATACATCTAAAATCTCTGAAACTCGTAATATATACAACACATTTGGAATCTCATATATCATTTTTAGTTGGAAAAAATGGTAGACAAAATAGATCCCACACGTTTTAATAGGACTGACCGTTTCGGTTCGGTTCCAGAAACCGAAGCGAACCGAACTTTATAAAATTTCTGAAAAACCGATTTTTTTTTAAGAAAATCTATTTTTTTTAACAAAAGCCCAAACCGAACCGTACCAAAACCAAAACTAAACCGAACCGAATAATATACGGTACTAATTTGATACAAATTTTAGAATACTGAATAAACTATTTTCGAACCGAACCAAATCCTGAAAGGTCCACCCTACGATTTAAAAAACTATTATAGATTATTGCACCGAGGAAATATCGAAACGGCATTCAATTCAATAATATGAAAATTTGCAGCATTACACTCAAATATAACGGCCTTTATACATATTTTCAGCTTCAAATTCAAGAAAAAATTATTAAATTTTTATAAATAAAATTTCCATATAATTGATTAACTAACAAATTCGAAAATCAAAATTATATTAAAAGGATGGACCTAACTCATTATAAATCAATGATTTCAAAAAGATCAACGTTTGAAATTCAACGTTTGACAACACGAATATACTATATACCCAAATCAACTAGACGAAGAAAATTTATTACAAACAATACAGTAATATAATAGTAGGCACTGTGGTACATATATAATTTTAAAAATAATAATGTTTCCAATTCCAAGATTTAAAACCAAAAATATAGACATCTGTTGTAATTTTCAGACACTAAACGATTACAACTTACTACACCAACACGAGGAAAGAGTAGTTCACAGTAGGTTTGATTCAAACGTAAACAAGAAACCAGAAAATAAAATAAAATAATTAAATATAAAATAAATGTTGGTTCATCCACCATGAATCTACCTTTTCATCTCCTCTCACATTTTTCTCTCTTACCTTAGTTTTTTTTCCATCTCCATAACCTTTAAAAACCCTAAACCCTCCCAACAACATTTCTCCAACCCCTACATCACATTTCCAAAGATAATTTGCGGGGGTGAAAACATGAACATTTTCTCCACACTCGCGCTCGTTTTCCTCGGGATTGCGGCGATCGGCGGTTGCGATTGCAAGCCCGTTCAGTTTATTTTCGGGGACTCGTTGTCGGACGTCGGAAACAATAGGTATCTTCCGAGGAGTTTGGCGCAGGCGAATTTGCCGTTTTATGGCATCGACTTGGGAAATGGTTTGCCTAATGGAAGGTTCACCAATGGTCGGACCGTCTCCGACATCATAGGTAATGGTCATAAAACGTAATACTTCGAAAAGTCGGTTTTGTTCTTCTTTCCTTGTTCAAAAGATCGCCCATTGTTCTTCCTCAACCCTCCAATGAAAATTTTCTTTTTTACGGTTACCCATCAAAGACCACATGTTTATGAATTATTTGGTTACAGGTGATAAAATAGGGCTGCCGAGGCCAGTAGCATTCTTGGACCCATCACTAACCGAAGACGTGATTCTTGAAAAAGGAGTGAACTATGCCTCTGGTGGCGGGGGAATCTTGAATGAAACCGGAGGTTACTTTGTAAGTTTCTCTACCCCAAATTCCAATATCCGATCCGGGTTTTTGAGAACCGAGTTATTGCGAAAATAGTCGGCGGACCAAAGGGCGGAACGCCAACTAAATCGAGTTAATATATATTTCGTCTTATCTATAAGAATGGTTCAAAAGATTTGATGATGGGGAAATATTGTACGAATGATACGGTGCAGATTCAGAGGTTTTCATTATGGAAGCAGATTGAATTGTTCAAAGGGACACGAGATGTGATAAGAGCAAAGGTAGGGGAAGAGGAAGCAGACAAATTCTTCGGGGAGGCTCGATACGTCGTCGCATTGGGAAGCAATGACTTCATCAACAACTACTTGATGCCTGTCTACAGCGACTCTTGGAAGTACAACGATCAAAGCTTCGTTGATTACATGATGGAAACTCTCGAATCCCAACTCAAGGCTAGTACACATATTTATTTTTCTCTCCCTTTTTTTATATTTATATATTTCAATATTTTAAATATGAATAAATAAATTTGTTGATGAAAATGGTATACCATAGATGCTGCATGGCTTGGGAGCGAGGAAATTGATAGTGTTCGGGTTAGGACCAATGGGATGCATTCCATTGCAAAGGGTACTAAGCACGACAGGACAATGCCAAGACAAAGCCAACAAACTTGCCCTAAGCTTCAACAAAGCTGCTTCCAAACTGCTTGGAGAACTCGGTTCCCAACTCCCCGGAACGAGTTTCAAGTTTGGCGAAGCCTATGATGTCGTCAGCGATGTCATCTCCAATCCCACTAAATACGGTATGCAACGTTTTACATGCTCAATTATATCTATACCCTAAAACTCTTGTATGAACTTTTGGCCTATATATGGTTCTTTGGGTCTATCGAATTAGGATTTGAACATCAATTGGGTATCCGAAAATTTCAGGGTACCGAATCCGTATTCGAATGTTTCTGTTATTGAGATTTGAAACATAACCTCGTGTGTGTAGGTCTCTAGTTCCCGAGTTTTGTGTATCTATAAATTTATTGGGTATCATGAATATTTGAACCTTAATTTAGTAATAAAAAAAAACAAGTGTTATTTTTAAATTTTTAATAAAAACGTGATTATTTTTAAAATTTTCAGGTAATTAGTAATGCTTAGAAATATTAAAGGTAATTAAATAAAAATAGGAGATACTTTTATAATTATATCAAGTATTCACTCCAATACTCCATTCTCCGAATTGAAATACTCAAATACATACTCGAATTTATGGGTATTTTGTATACATTATCTGAATCCGACCCATATGATTCGGGTATTCCATTTTCGGCTAATTCTTAGATCCGGTCGGATCGGTTAACTTTGGTTAAAACCATAACAACAATCTTAATTCTTAAATCTTGTTTTTTGTTTGTGAAAACTGAGTAGGGTTCGATAACTCGGACTCGCCGTGCTGCTCATTCTATAGAATCCGACCGGCTTTGACGTGCATACCGGCGTCGACGCTGTGCAAAGACAGAAGCAAGTACGTGTTTTGGGACGAGTACCATCCCACGGACAAGGCCAACGAGCTCATCGCCGACGAACTCCTCAAGAAATTCAATTCCATGGGCATCGATTCCGACGCTCCTTCTCCGGCCCCCGATCTCGCCCCTTCTCCCGACTACTAACCTTTCCTCAACGATGACGAAATAACGATTTTTATCGTATGTATCTTGCGCATGAGTCTTTGAATGATTTTTGCTGTACGTCCTCTATGTTATTGCACCGTACGTTTTGTCATGGTGAACTTTGTATTTTTTATCGAAATGTGAGTATATATGTTAATGTATATCTTGACAATCGGACATGGTGCTATTTTTTTTAATAATTAGTAGATTCCGGTTTTTGGTCCAACTATATCTTCAAAAAAAATCGGAAGAATAGAAGTCGAACTTGGGTTAGGAAGAAGCTTTAACTTTCTCTTACCGGTTGAGTGAGCCAATTTTAGGTGATATATTGCTACTTTAATAGAGATTATGTGTGTGATTTGTGCCAAATCTTTTAAAATTGAGCCTAATTAAAGTTCTTAATTAGTATTAGTAGACAAAATATTTTGGCATAAATTATGTTAAAATAATAAATTGAGCCTAATACTGATTTGTGCGAAATCTTGGGTTGTGATGATTGATGAGAATTGTTAGGTGATTTTTTTTTTGTGCAAACTTTTTAAATATAATTTTAGTTGAATTCTATAAGTACATTAAAATAATAAAAGAGGACAAGTCATTACTAGTTCGATTTATTTCAAATCATGATTGAGATCTTATTACGAACAATTTAAATATTGTGGCATAAATTAATTATGTTAGAATAGGATAATTATGTGAGGAGATGAACCATCAATTCCGCATTATATCTTGTGCGAATTTAATATTTTGGACAATGGAAAATGACAAGAAGTTCATCTTCCACTTTCTTCCTCCACCAAATAAAACAATGAGAACGGTGATGAATAAAAAAAAAATCTCAGGACTTTGCTGTTTTGTGCTCTAAGTGGTTTACCTAACACAACCCAAGTTCATGAACTTGTCTATTAAGCCACAAACACTATATATATATATATATATACACGAGATGTGATAAGAGCAAAGGTAGGGGAAGAGGAAGCAGACAAATTCTTCGGGGAGGCTCGATACGTCGTCGCATTGGGAAGCAATGACTTCATCAACAACTACTTGATGCCTGTCTACAGCGACTCTTGGAAGTACAACGATCAAAGCTTCGTTGATTACATGATGGAAACTCTCGAATCCCAACTCAAGGCTAGTACACATATTTATTTTTCTCTCCCTTTTTTTATATTTATATATTTCAATATTTTAAATATGAATAAATAAATTTGTTGATGAAAATGGTATACCATAGATCATAAGATCTTTCGAGATTCTTTGTTATCCGAACTTGCAATAAGATATAAAAATATCTATAAAATGTGGTTTTATGTCAATTTTAAATTAGAATTTTAGCATCAAACACTCTTTGGTGCTTCCTTTCATTTTGACTAATCCAAATTTATTCGTTTCTTTTTATGAAATGATAACTTGTATTCAGTATTCATCAAAAGCTAACGAAGTTCGGTCAAGATCGATTCACATTGCATATCTCATAAGGATGAACAAACGAATCGAAAACCAGAAATCTCCGGCTAGAATTAATTTGTTCTGTAATAAACATTTTTTTTTATAACTTATTGTTCTAATAAACTTAAAAGATGGACATTTTTTTTCTCCTCTGGTGTTTCAAAATGGAAACAACTCGATGTATATATAAATCGACATGTAACACAAATGATTAATAGCCGTCACTGAATTAGATCTTTAGATGTATATTACGTTAATTAAAGTAAGTTTGGGTTCTATACACCTCACGTTTTATTAAAGGGAGAAAAGAGGGTACAAAATATCGCCTCCAATATTATATATATATATATATATATATATATATTGATGTTTTCATAAGAAGATATCGTTGATAATTATTACATTATATATGCCTAATATACGACATATATAATTCAATTAGCAATCTATACAACCTCGGTTGGACTGTGGTCGAGGAGTGTGACGGTTATTCGCGCCAGATCCCGGATAGTCGTTCATCTCCACATCCATTCTCCGGTCGATGGTTCGCCGTGCCACGGAACCGGTTTCATCCTCTACCTTTAAACGTGAAATTCTGTTGTATCAGGATTGATTCATTGACAGTTGGATGTTTGATGTTTACACCCCCAATATATATGCATGTTTATACGCGCGTGTGCGTGTGTGCATGTGTATCATATATATGTATATATAGTTGATTTACCGAGTGGTTGATCTTATGCTGAAATTCTTTAGCATTTGTTTCATAGTCGAACCTTCCCAATCCTGCGATGGACAAACAATCATATAAATATAAAGAATATGTCGATGTTTCATAAAAATAATAATTTATATGAGATTCGTTTCTAACAATTTTAGCGTTCATACAGATCGTTCTTCTGCGTAAATGTCAAACATGTGTAAGAACAAGAAATTTGACAAGCGTAGAGAGAAAATATTGAACAATAATTGAAAATATATATATATATATATATATACACACACACTACTTACTTGCAGTGATTAGGATGAACTGTTGCGAGAAGATCAAAAGAGACAAAAATGATAAGACTTTGAATTTCCGACAAGAACTCTTCGCCATGAACGAGATATTTTTGCGTTCTTTCTTGTAAGTTTTGTGGAGCTATCCAAGATATAAATAATAAAAAGAGCTCGTGGAAATGAATATAAAGTGGAAATAAATAAATAATATAGAGGAAGTTTCTGACTTCTTTGGTGACCGTTGATTGTGGAGAGATCACCTCACCAAAAAAAATAAAAATAAAAAATAAAAAGATTTTTGAGCTGTAGACCACCATGATTAGTGATTGAAGGATCCGAGAAAATTCATTACAATATCAAAATAAAAGAGAGACTAAAAAAAGAAAAAAAGAAATTGGAGCTAATTGTAACCACAAACTTAAATGCATATACATTTTATTTTTTTGTAAATAGCATACAACTTACTACCTTCGTACCAAAAGCAAGGATTCACAAAAAATTATGATTCAAGATTTCTTTAACATACAATTCATGGTTATTAACGTACTATATATATATAACGTCCTTTTTTTGACAAGAATAAATTATTTCTATCATTAACGTACCCAATTTTATCCATATACATGTTAAACTATGCTTAATAAATGTATAGTAATATTTTTCTTATCCTTACAAACTAATTTAGCATGCATGTCGTCTCTGTGGATCCATATGGGCCATGAAATTGTTTAATGGGCCTAAGACAGACTCGTCAAGAGTTTCAGTTTCTGCTTGCAGTTTGCCCTAATTTCACCGCATCTGTTCCTCTATTTATACATCGATCCCTTTCACGCCGGTTCTCAAAAACCCTAATCGTGCGCCTCTTTGATCCTTCAAGGGCTTTTTGAAGATTGGATTTTGATCTTGCCCAGGACCTTCGATCTTATGGATCTTCATTCGTTCTTCCATTCTCATTGCTTTTCTTCATTCCCTCTGGTTTCTGTTATTGGTTGATTCTATGCCTGTGATGGTGTTAAATATACTTTGAGAGTTTAATCTCCCTGAAAAGAATCGAAATCTGAGGCTTTTCCTATTTGATCTGATTGGTTTTCTATCTTGTGTTGTGATTTGTTTCGGGTGCCATTGGTTTGATTCGTTTATGTTTTTGTGGCGTCTTTGATGATTAGTTTTTATAGTCTTCTGCTCTAGAATTACAGTGATTTCTTGTGATTATTTCTTACATTTTCCCGTGGAAACTTATTGTCGGTTTAATTTCTGTTAGACCCATGACGTCCTCGTTAATTCTCGTCTTGATTACCATGATTCAACTGAGAACAAAAACTGTTCTTTTATTTGATGGCTGCTCTGTTTTTTGGGACATGTTATAGATTTTGAAGTTATGGAGGTTCTTCTGTAGAGTGCAAGTGACGATGAAACAGACAGGGACATCAGAATCTCTCCGCTTCGGAGATTGATGACTTGTCTAAAATGGGAATCTCTCTGATGCACTGTAGGAAACGAATCCTTCCAGAAAGTTTCAATCTTTATGTTTCCTGTCTTGTTGTTTAGGATTTGTTTGGGTGGAGTTCTGTTTGCTGATGAGTTACTTTTCTCAGTTGCCCTTACTATGTCAGATGACACTGACTAGTCATCTCAAAACCCTCATTGTGTTGTTGTTTCACCAAAGCTCTACTGTGTAGCTGTCGCTTGGAACTGTATGTTCATGTCCATCAGCGTCCATTGTATGTTTTCATAGAAAAGATTCTAAGCTCCAATGCATCTCTACTGGATCCCAATTGTATCATCTTCATCAGTTATGGTGTAACATCCTTGTTGGCTGTAAGGATTACTTACATTGATGTAATAGCTGCCGTATGGCACGATTCTCATTCCTTTTGTTATATTTCCCAGAAGCCATTTTCATCAACTCCACGGTGTGCCTCCGAGCCAAAACCGACCCATCAGGTGAGGAAAAGTTGAAATTTATGAAGATCGAAATGGAAGGAAGAAAAGGGTGCAAATGCAATGCGGCAAATTGAGCGAAAGTCTCTGACTTTGGTGGATCCGAAGAACAACCAGAGAAATTATCTGCAGAAGATACTCAGAGCTTTTGGGTTTTGAAACTAAAAAAAAAATTAAAGAAAAAAAGAGAGTAGAAAATTCCTTTTCTGTAATCAATTTAGATTTGACAAATTTGACAAAAATAAAACACGTTTTATCTTTGACAAAAAAATCAATTTTTACATTTGACAAAGACAAAAGCTCTGTTTTCGAACCTTCGACGAGAAACGCGCATTTTAGCAGAGTTGTTGCTAGCATACGCCAATCAATCTCCTATTAAGCCACGCAACAACCAAGAAATGCGTCGTCTACGGTTTCAAACTCACCCACCAAACAATTTTTCCCCGAAATTTTCTCAGAGAAAGTGCCTCCAAATCCCCAAAACCATGAGTCGCCGAACAGGATTGTTCGATCTCGAGAATCACTTCGCCTTCTATGGCGCCTACCACAACAACCCAATCAACGTTCTGATCCACATCCTGTTCGTTTGGCCGATCTTCTTAACGGCTCTCGTTCTCTTCTACTTCACGCCATCGATCCTCGATCCCTCTCGATTCGGGTTTCTCCAATCGCTGACTTTCGATGGGGTTCTTCGTTTCAATTTCGGGTTCCTCTTCGCTTCGGTTTACGCTCTGTTCTACTTCGCCATGGATAAGAAAGCCGGGTCGTTAGCTGCTGTGATGTGCTTCGCATGCTGGGTCGGTTCTAGCTTTATCGGTGCTCGATTGGGTTATTCTCTTGCTTGGAAGGTGCGGATTTCATCCATTTGTGAATTCGATGAGTTTTGGGTATTGCAAAGTTTTCACATTTTTGTGCGAATCTGCGTGTAGGGGCATATTTATAGGTCCATGTGTTAACATGAGAATCCCTACATACATTTATTACTCATGTTCCTCCATACGTTGACATGAGAATCCCTATATTCAATTTATTTTTTATAGCTTGTGTTAATGGAAGAAATTGATTGACATAAAAAAAAAATGGGTATTCCTGATGTTGAGTTGAATCAGTTTCTGTCTTAATCTCAGCTTCAATCTCATGCTAATCATGTCTTTCAGTTCGTTCCTCTTCTGTTTTGCTTTGATTTATTTCTGTTGAAACCCTTGGCTACTGGTTTGAATGCTATTTATGCTTGCAAGTGTTCCTGGGTCCTGGGTCCTGGGTCCTGGGTCCGTCCGTTCATTAACTCAGAATGTGGGTTGGGCAGTTTCTCTGAACGCTTGTGGTGGCCCTTCATCTTTGAAGAACTTGCAATAGATTTTGTTGTTCTGAATGTTGGAAGCATGTGGGTTTTGTTGAAAAAGAGTTCAGCTTTTGCTTGAGTCTAGTTGTCTCTGCATCAGGAGCACCGGCATTGAATCTGTCCGGGAATAGATAGTTTTCTTGACCACGACGTTTCTAATGGTTTCAATAAAGATTGGCGTCGCTAAAATGGCTACAGAGTTTGTACAGATTTTGTTATATTCGACTGTCATCTATTGCTTATGGAGGATTCTGCCATTGTAAACTATGGACAGAATTCTATGGAAACGCCATATAGTGATTTGATGATAGCCTATTAGATATCTGTTTGTTTTTCTCCAATTCATCCAAAACCCATGATCTCTAAAAGTATGAGGTTATGCCTTGTGATGTGATGACAAGAACTTAGATTCATTTGTTTGTTTTCTGAAAAAAAATTCGGTAAATGTTTCTTTCAGCAGTTTCCTTCCTTTCCTTAACATTTTGTTGAAACAAAGCTCAAGCTTTGGCTTCGAGAGATAGTTGTAAGTTGTAACTCGGACCATTATGTATAGCGTTGGTGATACGAAAACTGATATGCATTCTGAATCGAATATGGTTGTTGTCATGTATTATGCAACTTCTTAGTTTGTGTATATTCGGCGGTGTTAATCATCCATGGCCATGTCATGCGTTTATCATATAACAATCTGACATTTCGGTTTCAGGTAGTCCTAGCATCTCAGTTATTCTGCTGGATTGGGCAGTTCATCGGTCATGGCTTGTTCGAGGTAAGTCATTTGCTTTTCAAAATCATCTTCTCGGTTCCTTCTTTCTCGTCAATGCCCTCAAACCCTGATCTTGCCTGTTTCCAGAAGCGAGCCCCGGCCCTTCTGGACAACTTAGTACAAGCATTTCTAATGGCTCCTTTCTTCGTCTTGCTTGAGGTGAAGCTTTTCGTTCTGTTTCGTTTTCTCCCCTTTTCGCCCTTTTTCTTGAATGCGTTAACGAGAACGAAAACGTGACAAAGGCAGTGGCTTGTGCAATGCAGATCCTTCAGTCGGTTTTCGGGTACGAGCCATATCCCGGGTTTGAAGCTGCAGTCAAAGGCAAGATAGCAAACGACCTGAGGGAATGGCGGGAGAAGAAGCAGAAGAAGAAGATCACTTAGAAGGACTTTTACCTTTGCTTTCTTCTGTATTCCCATCCGAAGCCTTTGTTGTTATGATTGTGTTGCAATCATTTGGAAATCGAATCCCTATATTCACAAGTGTAGCTGTGACTTATTTGAAAATAATTATGTAAAATTAATGTGCTTCAAATCATGAACAGCTCCTAACAACATTTAAAGTTTGACAAATATCAGTTTTACCAGCTTAATCGAAACTTGATTTCACTTTTTCACTATGGTCTGGTAAATTTTAAAATAAACTGTAGAAGTTATTCAGCTGTGTACATAATGAACAATTTGGGTAAATATATATGGAGCTTTCAAACACCATCTATACATATCTCTACAAGATTCTCCTCAGAACTAAAATGATAATATGTCAAAATATCTCACTGTATTCCTGTACACACACATATATATATAAACATATGCTGATATACATATAACATATGTGTATATATATATATGTGTACGTATAAAACGACAAATTATATGGATGTTGCATGGCAAAAGGAGGTGCGACAAATCTCTGGTTCGGATTCGGGCACACATGAAAAGAAAGAGGCGTGCATGTTTCCCCTTGATGATACGCACCACGCTCACGGGTTTCATCTTTTTCTGACTTTTCTCTTTCTATTTTTTCTCATAAAAATATTTTTTTTTTTTAAAAGAAGAAAGATAATTATTAATTAGGGTAAAGGATGCATTGGGAGCGCGAATAAAGGGGAAACAGAGAGACAGCAAAGAAATAGAAAAGTACGAATTACAAGCGTTCATCTTTTTTTTTTATAAAAAAAATCTAACCTTAAACTTTTCAAAAAAAAAAAAAGAGTCTTTTCTTGCTTCGTAGTTCGTCCATCTAAAAAAAAAAACTTTGGCGGGTTATTTTAGATAGTCCAAACTAATTAACTCGCGAGTCAAATACGTAATTAAACAACACAATTTAAATACTAATATTTTTAAAAAAATATTAAAAATTAAAAATTTAAGCAAAATAAGTCAAATACCTATTAAAAACACAACTTTAATACAAAAAATATTTTTTTTTTTAAAGTAAAATTTAAAAATATTTTTCCTTTGACTCACGGGTATTCCCGCGTTCGACTCGCAGCAAGTTGGTTCGTTTGTCTATTTTATTTTTTTTCGGACTCAAATTTTCTAAACTTGATTCGGAAAAGTACGAGCTAACTCACGAACCGGATTCATGTTAATTGACAACCCTAATCCAAATGGGGGAATGGATTGAAGACATAAAATCAGATCAATTGTATGAGTTTGGTTTCTTCACAATTTTACGGGTCGTCTCCTCAAAGGTGTGAGCGTATCTTTGTTCATTCTTTTCAGCGCGAACGTTAAGGGTGGCCGAATATTCTGGAATTTCGAACCATTTGACCAAAATTACTATATTTGGTTTATCACGTTACAAAATATCATATTATATAATTCAAAGTATCGCACCATGCAACACATTTAACACAATATTAAAAAGGAAAACGTAAATTTTTCTCATGAATTTATGGAATATTCAAAACGTTTTTAAGAATGCCAAAAACGTGCAATGCTGCGTGTGTATAGCATTTTTCACATGTTCGTATATAAACAATGTCGGGAGATATATAGCTTATGATTATATATATTTTTTTAATTAATTGTTTGTTTGATACAAAGCTTTTCCACTATGTGTTGGTATTTCATCAACGCCATTGACAGAGACATTAGGGTTTTCATGATAAAACAAACTAAATAATATTAATACACAGTAAAAAAATATTATGTTTTTAATAATTTTGAATATACTGACATCCCATGATTTATATACCAAAACTTTCTTCACAAAGCTAGGTTACATGCCCATGGCAACGAGGGCAGAGATCATATCGCATTATGAACTCCTAAACCCTAGTTCGTGCATTGGAAACCAGGCTTATTAATATATATATATATATATATATATATATATATATTATCCAGATGTTACGATCATTCATCTTGTTTTTTGGATTATGTTTTTATTTGGGTTAAATTTTTTTTGTTCTTATTCTTTATGGGTCATATTTCATTTTCGCTTTGAACCACAGAAGACTTCCCCAATCTTTGTCTCTCGTTCCGGTTTCAAATGGGGTTATCAAGGAAAGAAGAAAAAAAGATTTGTTTTGCGTTCTTTCTTGATGCCCTTTTTGTTCTTAGTTTGATCTTCTAAATCTTGATACATCTCTTGGGGTGTGAGGAATAAATAAATATCATGAGATTGTAGTCCAAACAAAGGTTCAATTTAAATCATCGAATTCCTTTGTTACAACTCCGGCAAGAACCCACGCTCAAACTCCAAACATTCTAACTTCAAAACACCCACAACTGTTAACGACGATATTACTGTCTTTACATATATTTTAATATAAAATAAAACATTTGGAAAATTCTAAAAAGAAAATATTTAATCTTCTATTCTTATAACGCCATCGTCGCGGCCACTACCGTCATTGTCTTTGCCCTCATCCATCCATTTCGCCCTAATATTAATCGATTTGATTCTGGTTTTTTATTAAAAGAAAAATAGATTTTTATAAAGAAAAATGTTTTTTCAAGTTTTATTAAATTCGGTTTCGAAAAATTCGATTTTTCTAAAATTAATAGCATTCAAAAATTTTAAACGGTTCAGATAAACTAAATACTGCATTTTTCGGTACAATAAAATTCGATTCCGAAAAATCGAACTGAAAAGATCTCTATGCATGACTATAAAATCCCTATAACGTTATCAGTATAAATAGATTCTTCGTTTAATAGAATATAAGAAAGTATGGAATAAATAAAATTACTCGAGGAGGCAAACTAAGTGGGTCCAAAAATGTGGGGTGTCATTTCCACGTAGGTATGGGATTTCTGAGGCTTGACACGACAGAAGGAGCAAAAGTGTTGATAAATTATTATTCTTATAGTAAAAAAGCTAGAAGATAATTCGAAGCTTTATTTTTCTATTTTGGATGTCAAGTAATTTTTATGTGGTTCACAAAGAGACACGTGTCCCATGAATGCTTTGGCCTTTATTGTCGAAGGACAGTGTATTATTTAGAGGTTCTTTTGCTATGATTGAATTCAATGTGAAATCGATATGATTGCACTAGGTTAAAAAATTTAAGAGAACAATGAAAATGATTAAAAAATATATCAAAATTATTTTGATGATCAGTAAAATCACAAAATTTGAATACTATTTCAAATTTTAGATGATTTCAATTTATCAACAAGATGGATGATTTTGTGATATAGTTGGAGAGAAAATTTTAAACTTAGAATATTTTTGTCATAGATGTTTTAGAACTATCCGTTATAATATTCAATCCCTTATAGATGCTGTAGAACAAATTTTGTTAAATTATACTCTTTCTAATTCAAAATATTTGTTGTTTTAGATTGTTTCACATTTTTTTTAAGAAAATATATCAAAAGTCACGTATACTTTTATTTGATGATAAAAACAATGCAATCATTAATAATGTATTGAAATTTGGTAGGGATAAAATTGGAAACTATTATAAAAAAAATGACAAATATTTTGAAACATAGGAAATAACCTAAAACTACAAATATTTTGAAACAGAGAAAGGGAGTAAAACATTGTTTTTAATTAATATCTACTAATAAATATATTTATTGCAACTCAATGATACAATATTTCTATTTAAAATTTGGAAAAATTATAAAAAAAATTACTTTCGGTATCCAATAAAAAAAAACGACATGATTCTACTTTTTCTCTCAACTCCTTCGGTGATGCATCTTTTCATCTAAGCATGGTATACTGTGCAAAAAAACGTACAATAAAAATATCTCTTGATGAGGAACATATTAGTCTCGAAAGATTTAAAGGTATCGCTTCATAATTACACGTCGTTTATGACATCTCCTGATATATTTAAAAAAAACATCGTCTTAAAAAATTCAAAATATCTTTATAATTAGGGTTTTTAACTTTCATTTATATGGTCGATGTGTTATTTTTTTCTCCTATTTAGGAACGTAAGGATTTGTTTTTTGGGAAAAGATCATAACGGAATTATTTTTTAAAATTATAAAAATAATCAGAAATAATTCTAAACTTTTTTAAATACAAAATATTTAAAATTTAATAAAAACTGAACTGCCACATCAATCAATTTATAAAAATAAACATGTAAAAATACATATATATACATAAACAAAATCACATATATATCACATACATATATATATCCACACAAAATAATATTAATTCTTTTATGTATATGTATACAATAATATATGCGCATATACCTACGCATCCATATATATATATATATATATATTATCATGAATTTGTGAACCACAATATCGGACTCACGTTCAAACAAAAGATAATTATGAGAATCTATAAAGTATCCATTAAAATAAAATAAAAAACAGGAGAGATGTTCATGAATCACACCAAGTCATTCGCCCTAACAAGTCTAACATAATCATTAAAACTTTTTTAATATTTGAAATTCCATTTTCATTTAGTTTTTTAGTATTTCTATTATTTTTGATATTTTAATTATTTTTATATCTAAAGTATTTATGATTGTTTATCTTATTATATATATATATATATATAACAAGTCCTAGATTAAATTTGAAAAGGATACAATTAACTATCATAAGCTTATAATCACGTATTGACATATAGATTTCCGTTTGGATTAAGTTCCGTTATTTTGTAATTATTTTTTAATTTAAAATTAATTTATTTTAAGTTAAAAAAAATTTATATTTGAATTCAGTTTTTATTAATAAAAACAAATATTTTCTAAAATTTCATTTGTTAATTATTTTTATATTCAATTTAAATAAAATTTATAAAATTTCTACCAATTTAATTTTTTTATATAAAATTTGAATTAGATATATCTACTACTATTCAATTAGAATCATTCGGTCTTGTATAATAAAAGTAAAATCGTCGCCATGTTTACTAAATTCATCGTTCTAATAATGTCAGAGCAGGAACTGTATAAACCCTACAGCGAAAGAATAATAAGTACACACGTTTTCGAGAACCATTGAATCTATCGACGTCAGACAACTTTTGACCAAACGGTACGTTCACGTATATTACATAGTAGCATAATAGTATTTAATTAATGCCCCCAAAAAAAGCATAATTATCATAACTCAAAAATCCGACGTGGAAAAAATTTCACGAATGGTCACATCAAATGAGGCGACCAATGTCATCGATCTCGTACAAATCAGAACTGTATTGACCGCGCAAAGTTGACGTGTCGAGATACATGAACGAGTCACACCCGTCAAACGACGTCGTTGTGGTGGAGATATCTCCGAACCCTTCAAACGACATCGTTTCATCCATAAAACTGAGCTTCTCCATGCAGCAACCTATGTCCACGTCACCACCTATGTCCATGTCATCTTCGTCCCACATTAGAACATCCATCTCGTTATCGTTCTTCTCACTCTCTTCTTCCTGGTCGTGACAGTTCACCGTCACCGTCGCCGTCTCCGGCGTCTGTGACAAAATCGTCTTGAGGTCAAAACTCCGTCGTCGCACACCGGCGGCGAGTTTGTTCAAGAGCCGAGCAGAGCCGGAGGAGGAAGAAGAGCATGAGCTGGGAGTCACGGGAGAAGTCGCCGTCTCCGTCGCCGAAGACGAAGAGCTTGTCGTTGCTCCGGTGACGTTGAAGGGTTCATGGGTCATTGGGTCGATGCCATTTCTTGCAAGTCTCTTCTTGAGACAAGAGTTCCAATGATTCTTGATGTCGTTGTCTGTTCTGTTCGATAATTGCTTGGCTATGGCTGCCCACCTTTTTTTAAAATGGAAATGGAAGAATTAAAAAAAGAAAAAAGAATAAAGCTATGCAGAAATTAATTCATAAACTTTAAAAGTATAATAATAATCCAAATAGTTTATAAAGTTTACAGAGAATAACTCATAAACTTAAATAGTTAAAATTACTAGGACATAAAACTGAAGGGATTTGGAAATAAAAAGTTAAAATATGAATTTAAAAGTATCATAATTCAATTTTGTAAAAAAAGAATTCATCAATTCAGTTTTTCGATCTCTCACATTCAAAAACTATCATAATTCAATTTTATAAGTTTCATTTAAAAGTATAAATGAATTTATAAATTTCCCGTTTGCTACAAATAATGTTTTGACATAGTTGTTAAAAACCATTTGTAAATTCATAAAAAAAAAATACTGGAATAGTCAGAGATTAATATTACGATACTGAAAATGATTTGCCTGAGGTGGCATGTAATATTCCTGCAACGTCATCATCACTCTGATAATGTCCACATTAATTAATTTTTGTTTTATAGCGGTTGATTTTATGTCTAAAAATCTTTTGTTAATGTGAATTTTTATTTTCATAATTTTATCGATGCCGAAAATAAAATGAACGAAAATGAAATAAATGGTTTTACATGTCTTGAGTCTTTTTCTGTACGACCACATGTAACATATAACCAAAAAAGGGCCGATTCATAAAAGTCATATGACCCTTTTTCTTTTTTTGTAATTTTGGATGCAAAAACGAAATATTATGCTATTATGGTGAGGAGTAATTTTTTTAAGTAATAAAGGTAATACCCTTCGTTTTACAACTTTATATATATACACACATACATATGAGTGTAGTGTGTGTGTGTACTTATACATAAGATGATTTATTGACAGGTTGAAATAATTTATCTTTTTGTTTTTGTATTGGTTATAAATATGATAATTAAGATGATTCACTATCACAAGACAAAATACTGTTTGATATGTCCTAATGTTCATAATATCGTCTCTTTATGCCTCGCCAATAATTTTCAATTGAATAATCATAAAAAAAACTATGAAATATTTGGTTAGACTGTAAATAACCTACTATATATATATATATATATATTTAGAAGTCTAATATTATTTCGATGGGATATAAAAGGGTTAGCGCGAAATTAAATAATTAATTATGTAATAATAATTACCTGTTTCCAAGAACGGCATGAAGTTGGATGATGGCTTCTTCTTCTTCATGACTGAATTTGCCTCTCTTAATCCCCGGTCTCAGATAATTAAGCCATCTTAATCTGCAACTCTTCCCGCATCTCTGAAGATCTTTCACATTACATTTTAAAAAACATATTTTTTCAGTCAAGATTCACACTTTTTGGATGGTGGAAACAAGAAATTGCAAATATATAAACTTTACGAAATTCCAACATTTTTTATTTTGGACCCATACATTTGGCAATAAATTGTATAATACAGTGTGTAGATCCTTATATTATTAATTTAAAGTATTATTAATACATTCCTAGAGAATTTTGTTGAAGTTCTCTGCAACATTTATAGAACCACGTGTTTATATTCGTGCACAGATACGGATATTTATGCATGAATAAAACACGAAATTATTGTCTAAATAAATTTTCAAAAAAAATCTCCTTTAAGGGATCAAATTTTTTTTTTTTTTACTATTTCATGAAATTCTAAATACACTCTCACAGATCTGTGTGAGGAGATTCTGCGTGTATATAAGCATATATTTTTTCTATAAAATGTGAATGTTTACACTGGAAATTTTACTTTTACAAATGGACTAATATCATAGTTAAATTTGTTTTCTCTAAGATTAAAAATTTCTTTACCCAAACAACAAGAATGAGATTTCCAAAAAAAAATATCGATATATATATATACATATATAATTTAGATCTATATACAAAACGACAGCACACACATGTATAGTACATACTATCTGTACGTTAGAATTTGTGTGTGGATGTTTATACATACATATAAATTCATCTGTGCATACACATTACAGAGATGAAGATGAATGCATATATGATATATCCATGTGTTTATGTATATGTGTAAATATAGGTGTATGTATATACCGGCTTTCTGGGGAAGCGAACGCCAATCTCCGATGCCATGTTCGTTGATGAAAGCGACGAGTTTCTGGTCTTCCTCCGTCGTCCACTCCCCTTTCTTCATGCCGTCGGCGTCGAACCACGTCGTCCTGCCCATTTTTTTCCGGCGACTGGAACCAATCGGAGATCGACACGTGTCCTTCTTAGATAAAGACGCTTTTTTTTTTTAATATTTTTTCTGAATTATCTGAGCCTCTCTCTCACTTGATTGGCAACTGAAGATGCGGTGAGTGAGTATATGTGGACATATTTATAGTCCATTCTTATTTGGATTTTATTTTCTCATGGTAGATTTTTTTAATTAATGTTTTTTTGGAGAAAAATAATATTTTATTGAGAGGAGAATAAAATATTAGCAAAGTTTTTCTTTTTTTTTCGTACTTTTATTTTTCTGAGGTACAATCTCCACTATTTTTGTCTTTAATGTAAATTCGAATCAATTTTTAGTCGCCTGAAAACAATAACCCAAGACATTACAAATAAATTAAATGTAGATTACAAAACATGATACCCATCTAACTCTAGGTATCATGATTCATGAATACGTAAAATATCGAGAAAATATCATGTGAACTATTGTATAATTTATTTTTCAAATTATTAAATATAGTACTAACAAAACGTGTATGGAAAAATCCGCGTAAGTACCATTTTTTTTTTTTTGTATTTTAAAATAAGAAGGGTTTTCACATCACTCAGTAAGTATTTACCGCTGAAAAAAAATCAGAGATAATTATAGATTTATAGTACAAAAAAGCCTGGCATAATAATAACGCAAAACAAAGGGAGAAAAAAAAAATCAATCTCAGTAGCTCTCGCTCTCTCTCGATTTTTGGGATACAGCCGGTTCTTTGTGTTGAACCGGTTGTTGAAATTTCGATTGCATTGTTCGGTTATCATTCGGGTTTGTATTTGGTTTATCGTTAATTCCATTCGGGTTTGAATTTATTATAGTTCTGATATCTCAGTTTCTCTTTTTGTTTTCGGTTCCTACTTACCAAAATTATAACATGTGCGAATTAAATCATTGTGGGGTAAGTGACATTTACCATCCACACCGAGTCAAGTAAAAACTTTACTGTTTTCACATTTATTGATTGCGAAAAAACATTTGGATTTTTCCATTTTAAAATTTAAATTAAATTTCGATATATATATACACACACACACATAATGGTCACTCGGCTTACCGAGTATCTGTCTCCTGTGGATAACTCCACCGAGAACATCTTTATCATGATTTGCCTTTTTTTTTTCTTTTTCTTTTTAATGTGCGACATGATAGAAGATTAATAATTTCCTTTTTTGAGTTCACACGGTGAGGGTTTTAATGTCGGGAAAAAAAATCTATTTTTCTTTTATTTACACGACGTCAAATAATCTTTATTTTTTTCTCTTTTTATTTATTTATTAAGATTTTTTGTTGTGCATAAAATTGGAAATGTCATTTTGTATTTTACGAATATAACGAATTTAGGAGAAATGTCATGAATTTGATTTAGGAGAGTTGTCTCTCATCTGCATTTTGTATTTTACGAATATAACGAATTTAGGAGAAATGTCATGAATTTGAGTTAGGAAACTTCTCTCTCATCTGCTTTCGCAAATTTGAAAAAATGATTTCTTTTCACAATTACCATTTTTTTAAGGCCTGGAGAAATATGACCGTTGAAAGAGTTCACACGATTAGGGTTTTCCCCAGTTTATTTTGTGTAAGAGTTCACACCATTAGTTTAATTAGCCACATCTTTTTATCATATGGTTTTGGAAGGGAGATCACTCGAACTATATATAGACACACAACTATATAAATATTTAAAAGCACTTTTATATAGTACAAGTGATATATATGTCTAGTATTAGAAAATTCACGTACGATATCATAAAACAAATGTTACCAATATATTTTTAAAATTATGATAAGCAAATGTAAATAAGGCGTAAATTTATAATATTATAAAGAAAAAGAAGTATATTAGGGGGAAAGAGACGATGTAGTGGCAGTGGCCTCATCCTGCTCCACGTAGACACGTGGTTTCGATTCTTCCAATTGAAAGTTGAGAAAAAAAAGAAGCTTTTTTTTATTCAGAGAGAAAGGGGAAACAAATAAAGACACACACACACACACACACACACACACACACACATATATATATATATATTGTCTGCCGATCAATATTTTGCTAATTTATTCATGTAATATGAGAGAGAGTCTTATATATATATATGTGTTCTTTGTCTATATATTTCTCATTTAGGGGTTTTCGGATGACATAAATTACAGGTTTTCATCTTTAGAAGTTTTCATAGTTTTATTTGGTGAAGATTAATTGATCTCTCCATTCTTTTGTTAGAAAGTTTTTAAAATCAAATTGAAAAATCTTTTTGGATATTCTCAAAATCATCTGTAATACAAATTTCTACATCTTTCCATGTTTTTTTGGTCCAAGTGGTTTTAGGTGAATATTGTGTCTCTCCTCCACCATGGGTTAGAAGACGGTGAGTTGAATAATTCAACACTGGCATATTTAGAAAATGTATTATTGTGGTCTCAATGATATGATGAGAAAGGTCGTAATCATTGGCCGATTAAGAAAAAAAATTTATAATAATATGGTAAAAATCGTTATATTATCATAGCGTCACAAACCTGTAATGTTATATATATATATATATATATATATATATATATATATATAAATCTTACTTCTTTCATGATTTCCCAATTGCTTCTTGGTTTTTAATTTGTAGATTATGATACAATTTTTATAAGAGAGCAAATTCGTTAGCACTTCACAATCCATTTCATAATGTCAAGTGTGCTACGTACGTGGATGGCCCGCTGACTTGAAAGTGATATAAAATAATTTATGACAAGAAGTGATGATATACTTTGATTCGATGTAATGTGCTATAAATATACACATATATCTATGTGATATCAACGCGACAGACTATGCTTTAATTCTCTATGTGTGTGTGTGTGTGTGTGTGTGTGTGAGAGAGAGAGAGAGAGAGTGGAGTGTGTACACATGTATGTGTGAATGTATATACATGTGTTGGGCCTTAAGGGCCCATTTGGTGAAAAAGAGAATCCTCCAAACCGAAGGGAGGTTTCGGTCACTTAATTGAAACGGAGCGTTTCAACATGTTAGGGTTTTTCAACCCTAGTCTCTCGATACTTCGTCACTTTGAGCAGCAGAGAAGAAAAGAAGAGGAGAGAGGAGAAGAGGGCTTGCGGCGAGCGTACGGTGGAGCCGTTTCGGAGGTCCGTCATGGAGGCTCGGTGGTAGATCGGTAAGATCCCGGTACAGGTTTGCATCCCTCGGTGATTTCTCTTGTTCTTGTTTCGGTTCTTCTCGGTGAGGTTCCGGATCTGTGGAGATCCGCCGAGCTTCTGTTTCCCGCTGTTCTCTTTCCGTCTCTAGTGGATTCGCCGGCACCGTCCGGCCGAGATGTAGGCCCGAGCTTGCTCGGTAACCGAACTCGTTAAAAGTCTCCGGTGTCTTTCGATTCTTGCACGAACGAGTGACTGAGAGACGGCGAGGACTCGATACCACCTTCACAAAGTGGTATCAGAGCTCCGGTTACGATCCAGGGAATATCGCCGGTCCGGCGAGGTAAGTTAGGTTTCGATTTTTTTTTGAGTCGAGTCTGTGTGAGCGTCTTGATCTGTTTGTTGAGTGTTTCAGTCGATCGGAGGGACGTATCGGTGACGGTGAGTAGCAGATCTAAGAGCCTCGGGTCACCGGCGACGAGATCTGTCGAGCTGAAGCCTCTGGGAGATAACGCGGCCAAGACTTGTTTCGGAATCGGAAACCAGGTGAGTCCTTCGACTCGGTTCTTTATTTTCCGCATTTTTTCTCTGATTTGAGTCCGAGTTTCAAAGGAAACTCGGTGGAACTCGGCGGAGAAAGTCCGATTCCGGCGAAACTCGGTCCGAACTCGTCCGAGTTAGGGCTGAGTGGAGGGATCGGGTGAGTCAACAACCGAGTTAACTCGGTTGACTCGGCGGTTTAGGGTTTCCGAAATTAGGGTTTCGAATTAAATCCGGTTTACACCGGTTTAATCGATCCAATTTCGGTTTAACCCGGTTTGGGTCAATCGAACCTGGTTCGATTCGATCCAAGTCCGGTTATCGGCGGTCAGATCGGGTTTGACCCGGTTCCGTCGGTTCAGACCGGATTCCGGCCGGTTCAGACCGGTTCACTCCGGTTCGGTCAGACCATTGACCAATTTGGTCAACAGTTGACCGGTTTAGGTCAAATCGGACCGGTTCAGGTCCGGTTTGGGGTCAATTGGACCGGTTTAGTCCGGTTCAGGTCAATCTAGGTCCGGTTTAGGACAATTGAGTCCGGTTTAGGCAAATTCAGGTCCGGTTTAGGTCAATTGAGTCCGGTTTAGGGCAATTCAGACTAGTTTAGGCTGGTTTAAGTCCCGGTTAGGGTCTGATTTGTCTGGGAAGGGCTAGAATTGTTCGGTTCAGACCAATAGGGTCTGATTGGAGGTGAATTAAGGCCGGTTTAGACTGGTTTAGGTCTAATGTTAGGGTCTATTCGTCCAATTAGGCTATAATTAGACCGTATAGGTCAATTGGGTCCGGTATTAGGTAAGATCAGATTCGTTTTAGGCTAATAGAGGTCTGGTTAGGATCTGATTTATCTGGTTAGGGCTAGTATTGGTCGGGTTAGGATCTGATTTTGTGGTTAGGACTAGATTGGGTCAGTTTTAGGGTCCGGAGTGTATAATTAGGACTAGAACTAACTGGTTTAGGGTTAGGATGGTCCAAATTAGGTCTGATGGTTATGATAGGGTCTGTAGTGATCGGGTTACCCTGTTAGGACTGTCTAGCATCCAATTTGGCTGGGTTTAGTGAAATTCACTAGGGTTAGACCTGTTTAGATCTCGGTTTAGCTGATGTGGGTCATAGATTCCGGTTTCTGTTCAGTATAGGTCTGAATAGGTTGGATTTGACTACGTTTAGCTGTGTAGGAGGTCGGGTTGGGCTTAAATAGGCTGGTACAGGTCTGTAGTAGACTGGTTTAGGTCTGATCTAGGTCTGTAAGAGCTGTTTAGGTCTTGGTTCGGTCTAGTTTAGCCAAATTTGAGTTAGTCTAGCTCAGTCTAGATCTGATCAGTAGGTAATTAGGTCAAAATAGGCTTGGTTAGGTCTGATTAGAGGTTAAAATGGATCAATAAAGCTGGGCAGTTCTTCTCCAGCTGAGGAATCCGAGGTCTGGACCATAACAGAACCATCAGGTCGACTGGGCCTTTCCTTCAAGCGTTCCTGCATTAAATGAAGGTAATCAGATGGGTATACACTGAATACTGGGGCAGAGAGGAAAAGCATTCAAAACTTCTTACCTCTAAGCACTCTCCAACTTTAAGAATCAAGTCATCCTCTTCAAATTTCAGGACATCAGAATCCTTGGCCAGTTTACTCTACACACGCGAGGAAGAAAAAAAAGAGCATCATAACCATAGAAGCCGGACTTGGGGCTTGTATACCGATAATCCAACTAAAATTAAATTGTAAGCGGAACTTGGTAGTGAATAACATGAGACAGGAACGACTTACACGAGTTTCTTGAAGATTGTACTGCAAACATGAGTAGAAAGCTAGTTTGTCATCCTTGTTCACAAAATTGTGTAGAGCAACATCCAAATCGTTAACTGGAAGGATCTCCATTTTCTGCAGAATGGGGTTTCGTAAGCACCCAATATAAGCATGAAATTTAAAATCATGTCCCCCATATCGACATGTTTCTTATTGGGAAGTTCTACAGAAGACAATACATATTAACAAAATCATATTGGAGAATGATATATATACAGAAAACTGAATAGAGCTGATGATCAAGATATTGCATCAAGATATTGCATCCCCTATACAAGAAGACGCCCATTGAAGAGCAACAGGAAGCCAGGAAACAGAAACAAAATGAATTAAAAATGAAGAGGGTTGTGAGATGTACCAGATTACTCTCAGCCACTAAAGCTTCTATATTTTGTTGATTCAGTTCTTCTGGACGAAGCCGTTCAGAATCATCGACTTTGGCTGTGATTCAAGGTAACTTATTAATACAAGCAAGAAAACAAAACAATGATCATAACCGTTTCATGATCCAGTGCATTAACATCAATGCCAAATAATTCAATTTTCAGTGCCTTTATTTAAGTTGGCAGATTTCTTGAGTCTATTTCAATATGTAAACATGGGAATGGCCCTTTGACATTTGGTTGTTAATAATAGAAACTCCACAGGGTTGACAAACTTCTGATGCCACAGAACGCAAATAAGCAAAACACGAGCTTCACAATACAAACAAATTAAGATCAGTCTCAAGAACTTCACATGTATCAATATCATCTACCTTTACACAAAAGGAAATTAATGTCCATGAAATATAAAGCCTTGTAAAGTTGTAAGTAATATAGTACCAGAATAAATTAAGAAAGGAGGTTATTATATGCTTAGATAGTGTTAAGATTCAGAATCTGAAACCTCTGATTTGATAAGTTCCTGCTGCACAATCTGATTTCCAGCAACAATCCAAAACCTTTATTGAACACAGAAACAGAAAACACACACTTTGGATGATCTTGATGACAAGTGTCCCACATTGGAGAGAGAGAGGGATTTGGGGCCAATATATAAGGAGGGTCAAACCTCCATTCTTAAGCTAGCTTTTTTGGTAGAGTTAGGGCCCAAATTGTATCAATTGGTATCAGATCCCAACTCTTTACTCTCTGGTGGGCTTTGACGGGCCGTTCTCTTGCGGACCTGCGGTCGACTCGGTGATTGTGGGACGGTCGGAAGAGAAAGGGATGGACCGAGAAGCCGCCAGCGACCAGATTTGCACCAACACCAGAAAAGCTAGTTTAAGAGTGGAGGTTTGACCCTCTTTATATATTGGCACCAAATCCCTCACTTTCTCCAATATGGGACACTTATCACTTGATTTGAGAGAGGATCCCAACTCTCTACCCCCCATACAAACCCTAACCCCTTTCTGAAAATTCTGCATAAAACCTTTCTCATTTATCTAATCTGTATTTATAACTATTCATTGCTGAAACTAACAACTAACCAACATATCTATTTACACACAAACTAGGTCTAGATACAATGAATCTACACAAAACACTAAACACATACGTGTAAGCACTTATCAGATAGTTCCTATTTTCAGTTTTATATTCATAAATCTGTTTAGCATTTCGGCACATATATTTCCAGATGCAATTAAGCATATCATAATTTCCTCCATGCCATTGTGCTCTATATGAGGCAAATGAAAAGTAATGATTCCTTCTATCAACTCCATTCTAGAATTCAACACACTTAATCCTTAAATGCGTTAAGTGCTCCTACCTTCAGTACGACCCTTTCTAGAAGCCTTTGAAAATATGAGAATGTCTTGGGGATTTGCAACCTGAAAAGGTTCATGGTTAGTAGTAAATTAACTAACATCAAAAGAGAAAAGGTTAAGTCTCTGTTAAAGGCCAAGCAATTTATTTGAAGTACCTTTCCCACGTATTTTTGCCCAAACCTTTGAGGATTTATGGTCATAAATCCAGAGTAGTCCACCTGAAAAATTAAACTAGTTTATGTCACTGTTTAGGTGATTTGACAAAAACGTATATGGCAAATAAGTGATTATTGAGCGTGGCAGAAAGAACGAGCAGACGAAAGAACAGAATATACATATATGCTTCCCATAAAGATTTTGACAAATCGTCCTTCTCAACTAGATTGTCAAGCTACAGAAGTTTCACAAGGTCTTTTTCACAAAAGAAGGTTGCTAGAAACATACAAATATTGAGAGGAAACTGATAGAGTTAAAGGACGTGAAACTCTAAAGGCTTTACTATTCCCACTAAGTAGCTACGTGGTTACCTTTACTTCACTGGGGTTGGTCAGTATGTTTGTTATATAGTTGGGAATAGGAGAATTCTTGGGAAAAGATTTCTCTTGAATGGGAGTGGGTGAAGCACCATAATCGACTCTTCAATGTGTTTCTCAGCATCAGAAAGATATACATATTTTCTGGGTTTTCCTTATATTTGCTGATAATAGAAACTCAGAAAAGAAATTACCTTGATTCGAACTAACGGGAGCTTAAGCTCTGATCTCTTGACAGCATTTTTCCTGGATCTCTCTATTAGGTTACTGACCTAACAGTTTTGAAGAAATTATGCATTTAGAGATTTACGAAATCTAAATTAACAAAGGCATACTAAAATTCCTTCCATGATTCTAATGAAAAAAAAGAAAACAGATAAAAGTAAGAGAAAGATTTACCACTTTATCCAAGTGTTCAAGAATTGAGTTTTGATCATTGGGATCTATATCACCTTCATCCTTTAAAACAATCTGCACCATGAAAATTACGTAAGCTAAGAATGTTTTCCAAATTGCCACCAATATAACATAATAGGACAAGAATTTTACCTCGGTATACTCAAAAGGCCTCACAGATGTCAAAGGTATCTTTGTTGGACGATATTGATTTCCCTATTAAGTCATATATTCAACATTGATAAGGACTATATACTTGATAGGTGAAAGGAAAACAGAAAAGTAAGCTTCAAATGCCTGTTTGAGAATAATCAATTAAATCAAACTAAGTTTTGGGTTTTCTGCTAAACAACCTTGATTTCCAAAAGAAGAACATGCTTTGGCTTCGACTCTCCATCGATCAGTGATGTTGCTATGGAAGAGCCTGGTTGTGTAACGTGGAAGCCCATCCCAGATACCTCCTTCAAAATTTAATCTCTTTTAGGTCAGTGAGACATGTAACACTACAGCTTATGCCTACTTACTCTTGAACAAGAATGAAATTTGCACGGAGGAACATGTCCAAAAATAAAAGTTTTAGTGATACCTGGGGATCAATAAGGCATTCATGTTCATGCCCCCACACTATGAAGTCAAGGAATCGTGGAAGAAAATGTTCATTTATAGCATTTTTAGGGTTTGATTTCACCCTGCGATCCATACCATAAGAACCATTTGTTTGCCAATAAAAAACAGAGTATGGTTAATGATCTGAGATAGAGTGTGGCAATGTAGAACAACCTGTTCTGATGAAGCACTAGAATGTTGAACCAGTCAGAGACATCACACGCTTCTTGAGCTTCAGGCCTCATCCATTGGACAGCATGTGGGGTCTGTGAAACTGAATTTTTTATGCTACGAAAGCATTACAAAGAAAGGTGAAAATCCTTAAGGGCTTGAGTTACCTGAAACATTCTATTGAGACGCTCGTCCCTTATGTTTCCCAGACCATAGAGTGCCACGGTCGTTGAACCCTGAAAATTTCCGAATTTACGAGTTGTCCAGGAATCCATGAATGAGACCTTGATAGCAAGTCTTTACACCAACCTTCCTGATAAGTATAGGACAAAGGGTAATCTGGCCAACACCAGAACCACCGAGGTTCATCTTTCCAAAATAATTCACAAGGTTGCACGCTGAAAGAATATCAATTGCAGATAGGTTGTCCTGTTGCCAGTTGCAGAAAATGAAGACAAAAATGTAAGAAATGCTAAGACACCAATATTCATGAGAAAACTGATTCCTTATATACTCAAAACGAATTTGTATAATCATAGCATGAAGGTGTGAACCAAGTACCACTCCAGCAGGATCGTCATGGTTTCCATGAATACTGAACACAGGCAAGCCAACGTTGAAGTGTGGGTCCTCATAATTTACATGGCCAAAACTGTAATGAAAAGATAATTTAAGAAGTAAGAAGTTATTTTACACCTAGATGAGAGAAAATTTACAAGAAAGTACATCATATCTATTCATAAGCTGATTCAATGTGTAAACTTGCATAAGAGTATGAATGAAGAAATGATTATTTGGAATTAAATGCTCAAAAATCAGAATCTTCCCAATAGTTGAAGATTGTAGTCTTACGCATTCTGAAAATTTACGGTCTGGTCACTGACAACTTGAAACTGGACCGGCCTATCATTAAGGCAGTGGCGACGGAGAATCTCAATTGCTTTGACCAGTGTTGTCCTCGAGGGTTTATTCTCATGAAAAAGATCACCGCCTATAAGTAAGAAATCCACCTGCTCCAAAACAATGTGAGTTGATAGTAAATAAAGAACAAATACACTCGTGAGCTCCCCCTCTAGACTCTAGCTATGGTAACCAAGAATCTGCAGATATCACATGGCCTTTGGTTCAATGAGGTTAGGACACTACACTAATGTATGTCTTAAATTTTCATGGATGAGAAGCATTATCTGATTAAGATAAGAAATGGCAAAGATGATACAAATGCTGAACAATACTGGGAAGGGCAAGACTGCAGCCGACCTGCTTTTCCTCTGCTATTGCACATATCTCTTCAAAAGCCTGAAAGGAATCATGTCGTCTTATTTCATCTTTCTCCATGTAGCCCAAGTGGCAATCAGTAGCAACAAGTATCCGAAGCGTATTAGTAAAATCCTCCCTGCCAAGTTTTACAAGAAAACAACTGGAGCATAGCTTGCAAAAAATGTTACGTTATGCAATGATTATTTGTATAAAAAAATTCGAGAGCTACTTAACTACTCCCAATCATCAATTCAGGAGATGCAAAATTCTCTGCTTAGGTATTGAATCTGTACAACTTTCACGAGTTCAGAAAAAAAATGTCCTGACTCCTATATTAGGAATAACAAATACATCACTGGGTCGAGATCGCTCATCATATTTGTCCAGTACTGCACTTGGAAAGCCATAGTTGCAGCAAATAAGTTCAGAATCCAAACCGTTTTCTTTTTGTTTGGCCACAGAACACGAAACCGATATGTATCATGCAAATAGAGAATAGCGAGGCCTCATTTTTGTTTATTTGGATCAAGCTTGCTTCTCACTGCTGCATAAAGCAACATGAAACTATGAAATTGGGCTATGACAAGAGCAGAAGAAAGAAAAGCACACCTGGACATATCTCCAGTTATGGCAGAACCTGCAGCTCACTAACCCCCCAAAAAATACCCTGAAGAAGAGCAGTAAACAATTTATATGATCTGGTCTGGCTTGTATATTGAATTCGGTACAACCAAATTTAAACTTCTGCTCCTTTCTCAAGTTCTCAGTGAAGAACAAGCCACATTCCACAAATTCAATTCATCTTTCCTTCTTCCAGGTACTGTTTTCAGTCTCTACAAAAAAAGTTCAGAAAATATCTACTGGCTCTTGCTTTCAGTGAAATGGCAACAGTATAAGAATTTTCAAAGTCATAACCTAAGCTCTAGTACACTCAATAATGGCCGTTGGAGGACGTTCACAGCACGTATGTAAAACCCTAAAGAAGATGAATTTGAGAAACCCACTATAAGCCCTAGGACGTTCACACTCGTAGAGAGATACCGAAACAACCCCAGAATCCTAAATTTGAATCTACACAAAAGACATTACAAAAACTGACAGTACACCCAGAAAAGATCATGAAACCCGAGGATCAAAATCACGAGAAACTTTTTTTCCCTACAGTTATAAATGGGGAGAGGGAGAAAAGCGTAACACTCTAAATGGAGCTTTCATGGATACGGTACCAGTCGTGATCAAAAGCCCGTCGGAAGATTTTTCAGAGTCTCTAAGATTTGACTTCTCGCACTTTCTCAGCAGCCAAACAGAGCGGGTAGAGAATCATGGAAATGCACAGAAAGAAAAGTCACCTCGTCTTAGAAGGATGAAAGCCAAACGGCAACTTTCCGGCGACACGGATCCACGCGAGAGGAAGTGAGAGTGAATTGGAGAGAGACGTCAATGGGTGTTTCCCTGGCGGGGAATTTCAAAGCTCGAGAAGAAGAGGAGAAACCATGGGGAAGGAAGAAGAATGGTGGAGTGGAAAAGCCCACGCCATTTTGCTATAAGGTCCCTAGATTCTTATCAGTTTCTCATAAATATCCTAAACCATTTACAAATTGATTTAACATCCCCAATCTGATTTAAAATCGATTCAAAATGAGACGCATATGACTCTTACTCATACGATTCATGTTTTAAAATGATCTTATAATATCCATACTTGACACCGACTATAAATATGTTGAAAAGGGTGAAACCATTTCAAATATCGTTCGAGATCGCTTCTTTTTCTTTGTTCTCTATCGAAATCACATATTTTCTTTTATTATCTTTAATTTCAAATTGACTCCTTTTTTTCTTTAAAATTTTGAGATTTAAAAATTCTGACACATTTTTTGAAAATCTCTTGGTTAAATGAGGAGTTTTATTTCATTTACTTCATTTTGAAAAATATTTTATGAAGAGAATAAATAATAGATTCAGAAGTTTAATGAGGATGAAAAATATCATTTCACATATTTTTTTAGAAAATTAGGATTTGACAGAGGTAATGTGTGAAGTAACAGTAAAGTAATAACATTGCCAAAGGATCAATATTTTTTTGTTTTTATGACAAAATTTACATAGGATTAAGACGACATTAATGTTGATGTTAATTACAAAATTTACATACCTAAATAAAATAAGAAATATTTCTATCAATTTATTTATTACTAGTTTAGAAAATATATTTTAGACCCGACCATTTTTTCTAAAAGAATATCTCTTAAATTTTAACATGTTAATTTCAAACTATTTTGGTCCACTGTCCTCATGAATGCCAAATGTATCGAAAATAATATCCAAAAAAAAAAAAAGTTTTCTTCACTCTATCTAATTATTTTATCTTCTCGAACCATTACCCCTTTTTCAGCCCAAATTTATTACACTAAAAATTAAGTAAAATTTTTTTTTGTAAATCACATTAACCTAAACACCAATTCGAAAATCACAAATTAGGATTCGAGCGGTGACATAAATTGTTTTTAAATAATAATGATAATAACAATAAATGGATGGAGAAAAGACAAATGTGGGGTGGGGTACGTTGCAGAGGGCGATGGTTACAATTGCCGCAAGAGACGATAGATGACAAATAAACTTTCGTGGAAGCTTGCGGAAACTTTCACTACCGCAACAAAAACATTTCATGTGAGTGTACGTACGTACGTACCGGAAACTCGTCATACTTATCTCATCCCCTTTTTCCCCCGCCCCAATTATTATTCTTTTTAAAACAAATTTTATTACATAAGCAATAACCGTGATTCACTTGTTTATTATATGATGTTTTAATTTAATAAATTCGAACTCCCACATTTTCATCTTAACTGAATGAATCAGAACACGTATAAAGATAATTCATATTAAAGAGAGAAAAAACATCCGACCTAAAGATTTACATGCTATTCGTATATTTTATATTTTTCGAACTGAAATTTCCGAGTACAATCTACTAAAAATCGAAATTTAATTTTTTCACATGTTTATAGCTTCTTATTTATTTATTTATTGTAAAGTACTGATTTCAAACAGATAATTTAAGAAATTTTGACGATATTTATTTATTAGATAATAACACACTATTTTCTATCTAAACTTAGGTAATCCAATGGTAAGAAAACATGCTAAATATGTTCTTATCTAAATTCAAATCTAATCGTGAGAAATGACATTCACCTGGACTTCACCGATTCTCTGGAAGATGTAGTTAGGTTAAAGGTCGGGAGAACGGATTATAAAAAACACTATTTTCTTAATGATGCAACTTTTTATTTTATTTTCTATTTGCTAAATGTAAATGTATCAATAATGGTACCATATATTATTGAATCGATAAGGATTGTTGTCTCGATCTAAAATAAATATATATAAAAAAATGTATCGTCTTTTTGAACGGCTGAGAGGACACTACACAAATAGAGTACAAATCCTGAAAATCCACATATATATGAATACATATATATATATATATATATATATATGTGTGTGTGTGTGTGTATGTACACGCTTCGACGACGAAACAAAAACAAATGTTGGAGAGGAATACGGAGGATTTTTTTTTTTTGCCCCTTCGAACCTATATCACGAACACGAGACCTAACCATAGTTTCTTTCTCATGGTATGAAATTCCAAAAATACCCTCTGTCTACAAATAATGGTGAAAATTATGATGATTATTTATATCAAAAAATATTCGAATATTTGTTAACATCGTATATTATTTATAAGAGACCTAATCAACAGAAATTTGGACCACCTTCGATGACAAGGAACCATGATTTGTATGCGTACGTAGTTAGAGCGGTCCTATCCACGGGCCAAATACACTCACCATCCATGTGAATAAAAGACGCAATAAATGTGTTATACAAAATTTTAAATCTACCAAAAACATATAAGACATAATTAACTTAACTAACGAATTAGTAATTAATTTTAAGTGGAAAATTATTTTTATTTTAAATAAGTAAAAAAATTTCTAAATCTTTGGAATCCCGAAATCGAAATGTGTGGAAAAGAAATATTCATGCGGCCGACCCCAAATAAACTTGAGAATGAGGCGATGTTGTTGTAAATCTTTAAAATGAAATATCCATATATTATTATTCAGATTCTCTTAAAAATCTCTTTTTTTAAATATCAATACCAAGTCCAATAAATTAATTGGATTTATAGAAATATCTTTTTCTTTAATATCAACATCAAATACAATAAATTAATTGGTTTTATTTTCTTATTCCAATTCATTATACATGTATACATACCATATATATACGCATACATATCAATGATCATTATCTTGTAAAGACCAAGATTGATTTCCTTTTCTGCTTGCTTAGTTTATAAAAGCCTTAATGTGCATATGGTAATTTTTATTACTTTATTAGATATAACACATTAATCTCTCTGTTTTTTTTTCCCTTCTCTACAGTTTTCCAGTTCCATATAACATTTATTTCCATGAAAGTCTCAGGAAGTCTTCAACGTTACTCTTACAAAACACACACACACACATATATATATTTACATGCGTTTAGTTACTACATTTGGTAGCTAGGAAATCAATGCACATTTATTTTGAAAGAGGAAATAAATTGCTAAGCAATTAATTTCCCTTTTTAAGGAGAAATACTTCGTAGTATATATGCGTAGAGGTTTCGCATTCCATTTTTGCCAAGTGATGTGCAAGAGCAACATATCACATAAACTTATATATATATATATATATATATATATATATATATATGTGTGTGTGTATAAATTACAAATCTAGAAATCTCGTCATAAAAACAAAAATATATACATAAGTGAATATTTAAAGTATAAAAACATTTGCATAAAAGGCCGAATTAGTCACTAGGAATAAAAAGGAAAGAAATTAGGACTAAATAGAACAATTAATTAGGGAAGGAATCATTAGGAAAAGGGTAGAATTGTAAAATAGTGAAAATATATGTCATTTTATACTTGTTATTTTGTCGCATTCCTAATATGACAAATTAGCCAGTGTTTTTTTTTTCTAGCAGATTATCATTCCCGACGATCTCCATTGTTTTCCTCCCCGTCTCTCTCTCTAGAGCTTCCATGGCGAGAGAGCAAGAACCTTCACGCGCCACACACGCCGAATATTACACAGACGAAGAGAGCAGCGAAGAGAGCAACACGGAAGACGAGGAGGAGGAGGAGGAGGAGGAGGAGGAGGAGGAGGAAGAAGAAGAGGCGCCGTACAACGAGGAGGCGGAAATGACGAGGTCATCGTCGTTGTCGTCACGCGTCGGCCGGAGGAGCGTGAAGCTGACGCACCAGAAGAGGAGATTCCGGTCGGATAACTGGAATCTGGGTCGGGTACTGGACCCGAGATCGAAATGGGTTCAGGAATGGAACAAAATATTCCTCCTGGTGTGTGCCACGGGACTCTTCGTGGACCCACTGTTCTTCTACACCCTATCAGTGAGCGACACGTGTATGTGCCTGCTCATCGACGGGTGGCTCGCGATCACCGTCACGGCCATCCGGTCCATGACCGACCTCTTGCACCTTTGGAACATGTGGCTCCTCCTCAAGATGGCCAAGCGCCGGTGGCCCCACGGCGGCTTCTCCACCGCAGGCGACGATGTCGGGACACGTGGCGAGATGTCGAGACGTGTGGCTCTTGGGTACGTTAAGTCGAAGAAAGGGCTCTTCTTCGATCTCTTCGTCATCTTACCACTTCCTCAGGTACCTATAAATTCTCCACTCACATGACAAGACAGTAACCAAATTTATTGCATTTTTCCTTGTTCATAGTTCTGTCGGTCCAAGGATATCGGAAATTATTCGGCTTAGATTCTTGTGAGAACATATTTAATTTAATGCAACTTGTTAAGAGCAATCAACATGCTGTGTGATGAGATCCATCCATCTGGTTCTTTGTTCCGTTCGTGTGAACTATTTTGTACACATGTGCATAATTTTTTTTTTAACTGCAATATATATAAGCATTCTCTTGAAACAAAAAACTGTAAATACTACACATTTTACTTTGGATATTCATAAAAACTAAACCAAGTTGAAATATTGACACCATTGGTATAAACTTCAATTAAAACTAATGGTATCATATCAGCATATTGCATCATAAGCAACCGAGGTGGTGACTATATAATCAGAATAATAATATGATTATATGGTGGTAACATTGATCATAACAAATTCACGATGATCATATCAAATTACATCACACTTTATATATCATACCATGTGAAACCACTATAAATTTAACGTTATGATAAATGTGATCATACTGTCATCTTGATCATATGGTTATATCTGGAAAAAGTTGTGTAGATATCTCGAAAAAGTTGCGTACAAATAGTTTTAGTAAAAAGAGGGGTACAGAACATTGATTCAGCATTGATTCAGCTAGTTTCTGTAACGTGGGGTCAAATAAGGAACCTAACTGAGCTACGTAATGGAGAAAACGTCACCGCAGAAAGAATCTTATGTAGAGCTTTACCTATGTATGTTCTATACATGTGTTTTTTTTTAATTAATTATTGTACGTTATTTCAATAATAATAATAATAATAAATGTGTGGGTGTGGGGGGAGCAGGTGGTGTTGTGGGTGGTGGTACCTTCTCTTTTAGAGAGAGGGTCCGCAACAACGGCGATGACGGTGTTGCTCATAACATTCCTGGGATGAAAGCCAAACGGCAACTTTCCGGCGACACGGATCCACGCGAGAGGAAGTGAGAGTGAATTGGAGAGAGACGTCAATGGGTGTTTCCCTGGCGGGGAATTTCAAAGCTCGAGAAGAAGAGGAGAAACCATGGGGAAGGAAGAAGAATGGTGGAGTGGAAAAGCCCACGCCATTTTGCTATAAGGTCCCTAGATTCTTATCAGTTTCTCATAAATATCCTAAACCATTTACAAATTGATTTAACATCCCCAATCTGATTTAAAATCGATTCAAAATGAGACGCATATGACTCTTACCTCCGGCTACATCTTCGGCACCATCTGGTGGGGCATCGCCCTCAACATGCTCGCTTATTTCGTCGCCTCCCACGTAAGCTTCTCCGTCCCTGCACCAATATCTTTTTTTTTTTTGATAACCAGGATGGTTCCTGAACCTTCGGCCCGACTACATCCACCTTAGGTCTGGAACCAGCTTTTGTATATGGACCATTTTGGTCCAGAAATTACATCTCTCTCCTCCAATGGAATCGACAATATCTTATATATACATACATATATACATACAGATAACAAACCAAAAGTACCATCTTTATAATATTACCTTCATTATTAGATCTAGAATATAGCATTTGTCGGGGTATGTGTGATTTAAACCTATGATTGTGGGAGCACAAAGTGTTCTCTACGTCCACCCACGGTTCGAACCTCGTGGTGGCATTCACCTATATAAAAAAACCCTATGATCTTTGGGGTTATATATATATATATTCAAACTTATAACAAATGCAGAATAGTTTTCATGCTTTTTAGAATGTCTAAGTGGATGTGGTAGGCTAATGGTATATGTAATTCCTTTCTTGTATAAATTCACGTAGGTTATTTATGGACCGACCCTTCTCACGTGCTGGATTATTTTATATGTGTAATTACCAGTTTAATGATTGTGAGAAATTTCGAAACCCTTGCGCCTAAGTACGTTCACATGGACCTTTTCCACTCCCACGGGAGTCCTCTAGAAAAAGACAGAACATGACAACACGAGATTTTGTTCAGAGGAAGGTAGGATTGCTTCGTGAATTAAAAACAAATTAACGCGGAAGTCGCAATCATATGAAAGGACAAAAACTTTACGTGGATACCGTATCTATGATTAATATACACATCATTCCCATAACCTAATCAACCTTGAGTTATGTCACACACACATATATATATATATACAAATAAATATTCACATGCAAGAATATATTAGCATCTTTTTTTATTTATTTAAACAAAAATACAAGTAAGGATGGAATGGGAAATGGATGCAGGCGGCAGGAGCGTGCTGGTACTTGTTGGGGCTACAGAGGATAGAGAAATGTCTGAAGGAGCAGTGCAGAGGAACGATGGGGTGCGACATAAGGATGCTGTCATGTAAAGAGGCGGTGTACTACGGGACATCGTCGTCAATGGTGAGGGACAGGATGAGATTGGAATGGGCGGAGAACAAACAAGCGAGGTCTACTTGCTTGGACGTCAACACCAGCTACACTTTCGGCGTTTTCCAATGGACCCTTCAGCTCGTCGCTAACGAGAGCCGCTTGGAGAAAATCCTCTTCCCCATCTTTTGGGGTCTCATGACTCTCAGGTACTACCATACATATACATATATATGTATATGTAATCCGATCTCGATCCTTTTATCAACGCTGCTTTAGCGAAAACAAAAAGGAACTACGATAAAACACGGAAAAAATCTCAAGCAAAATTTACGTTTATCATGCTTTGATAACGCTTCTGTTACGCAATTGACCACGCTGAAACAGCGTGACCAAAGCGTTAACAGTTTGGCCACGGTTAATCACGAAACGTTAAGACGTTATCCAATACCACCGTGTTATTAGAAAATTTGAAAACTATAGAGAGGTTTGCTTACAATACATCCTTTATGGTGGGATCTTTTCTCGTACTCAAATCAATGGGTACAAGTAATTACGTTTTTAACAGAATTATGAAATTTAGTAAAAGAAAGCCACATTTTGTATTTAACCTTTTAGATTATGGATCGCAATAACAAAGAAAAAATCAATTTTTTTCTATGTTTTTAACATCTTGGTAATTCTTGAACCATGGAAAATCAGCACGTTTGGGAATTTAAACAGTACAACAGAGTGGACCGAGGTTGTCTTCAACATCATTATCCTGACAAGTGGGCTCTTGCTGGTGACAATGTTGATCGGTAACATCAAGGTAAATTAAATTTATGCCACCGTATGCTCCTAATAACGTTTTCATCTTTTAAATCGAACCTTTTGTGATTAACTAAAATAAATATAAAAAAAAAACATGGTAAAGGTGTTTTTGCATGCAACAACGTCCAAGAAGCAAGCAATGCAGCTGAAGATGAGGAACATAGAATGGTGGATGAAGAAGAGACAACTACCCCAAGGGTTCAGACAACGGGTCCGTAACTACGAGCGTCAGAGATGGGCCGCCATGCGAGGCGTCGACGAGTACGAGATGGTCCGCGACCTTCCCGAAGGCCTTCGTCGGGACATTAAGTACCATCTTTGCCTGGACTTAGTCCGACAGGTCAGGCTCATATACACCCAAAAATTATTCCAAAAAAAAAAAGATCGAGAAAAATCAGACAACATATGTGATGGTGTTTCGAGTTGTTCAGGTGCCGTTGTTTCAACACATGGATGATCTGGTGCTGGAAAACATATGTGATCGTGTCAAGTCACTCATCTTCACCAAGGGAGAAATAGTGAGTATACATATACTTTTACATCGATATGAGTGGTTCGATTCCGATATCTGGTTTATAATTAGTCCTTATCCCAGATTTTTTAGGGTATCCGAACCTAAACCCGATGAGTTATGTATTTTAAAGCTTGAACTCGAATCCGGTCTTTGCTTACTCTAATTATATTACCCACGAGATAATTTTTGAGTATTCATTGATATCTAAACCCGACGGATTTTAAACATATTTTGATTAAAAATTCATAGATGATATACGAATAATTTATAAAATATTTTAAAATATTTATATTTAAAATAATTAGATTATAAAACGTTAGTTTTTACATTAAAATAAAAAGATAAAAACGAGTAAATTATTGATAGTTTCTATAGCTGAAAGGTATAATGATTATTTTTCTACTATTCGATAATCACAAATAATTATACGATCCAAAAATATAACTATAACTAGAATCTGAACCCAAACCTGAATTTTAATTTTTAAACATAATAAAACCCGACATGTATTTCATTACATAACAGGTATCCGATTTTGGATATCCATTTCTCGGGTCGGGACGGTACCCGAAATTCGGGTCCTTTTGTCTACCCATAGTTATAAGGGTAGTACTGTAATTTACAAATAAAATAGGGAAAAATCTCATAATTTTTTTTGTGTGGGTAACCGGGTTTCCTGAACCGATGCTCATACTAATCCCGGGGCCGGGACTCATAAAAATTAATATACAGATTTTGTAAAATGTGCAAAAACATACAAGTTTTGAATTTCACAGATAAATATACACAATATTTCTAAAATATTGAATTCTTGAAATCGGAAACAATTTTTGAGATAATTCTTTCGTATAGAAAATTACACTAAATCAGTTGCGGTATTTTTTTGGATACATTCATTTAATGTATTTATTTGTCAAATTTAAAGTTTCTTAATTTTTCTATCATGAGACTATCCCTAAAGCCTAAAGTTTGAGATAGAGTTTCCTGTATAACTATATAATACGATGCAAAACCTTATTTATAAGTTACAATGCTACCCTTACTTTCGATCCATTTTAATATCAAAATGTATACAGATCCAAAAGGAGGGCGATCCGGTGCAAAGAATGCTGTTCGTAGTGAGGGGACACCTACAAAGCAGCCAAGTACTGAGAGACGGCGTCAAGAGCTGTTGCATGTTAGGTCCGGGGAATTTCAGCGGCGACGAGCTCTTGTCTTGGTGCCTGCGGCGTCCTTTCGTGGAGAGGCTGCCGCCCTCGTCCTCTACGCTCGTCACCCTCGAAACCACCGAAGCTTTCGGCCTAGAAGCCAGTGATGTCAAGTACGTTACGCAACATTTCAGGTACACTTTTGTCAACGAAAAGGTTAAACGGAGCGCTCGCTATTACTCCCCGGGATGGCGTACGTGGGCCGCCGTCGCTATCCAATTGGCGTGGCGAAGGTAAACTTTTACGTTTTCATTCTGTTCTGGCATACGAAATTGGGATCGGGCAAAAAAATATGAGATGAGATCGGATTTGATCACGAAGAAATTTATTTCGGATGCCCCATCCGAGCCAATTCTAGTATATAATATATAGTTTGAGTAAAATAATCAAAATTTTATATTCGGACCTCAGGTTTTTGTAACTCAAACGGATCTGAGATCGAATAGTATCTCATGAGACCAAAAAATTCTGTCTGAATTTCGGATACCCGGTCACTGTCCATTGTTAACGAAAGTGTTGATTTTGGTGCAGGTACAAGCATAGGTTAACATTGACGTCCTTGTCGTTCATAAGGCCTCGGAGACCGTTGTCGAGATGTTCGTCACTGGGGGAGGATAGACTTAGGCTGTATACCGCTATGTTAACCTCTCCCAAACCCAACCCCGACCATTTCGATTATTGAATTGTAATCCTTTACCGCTGTCCCAATTTCAATTTTTAACATACTATGTTATGGACATTCATATATGCTCATATATATATAAATTCGATCCATTGCGTGATTTTATTAACGTTTAACGTCAAGGATTGTTTACAGAACGACGGCAGAGCGGGCAAGACTCGTGATCTTGTAACCACTCTAAGATACAATCTCTGTGAAAAACGTGCGAGCAAGGTATGTCCATGCACACTTTCTGGTCGGATAATAATCCCTCCAGACATATGGAACAGTCCATCTTCTTCCGTTCCTCGGCTTCATCGATCAAGCTCTCGTTTACGATTTCCGCATCGGCTACAATCACGTAATCTCCTCCTACAAGGTGGCGGCTTATGACAGCGGCGAATTCGCTTATATGAGTCGCAAGTCGTTCCTGGATCCAACGGTTGAGATTTTTCTCAGACAGTACGCGTTCGATGTATCGACGACAGGTTTCTTGGGAATGAAGGAACTCTGTCGGAATCTGGGACCGGAAATTCCATGGAGTAGAAGCCGAGGATTGATTGGTGAGGGTTTCGTGACCGGAAAATCTCCGGCGGATGGAACGTTGGAGTTGTCGGAGTTTTATGATGAAACCTATGGAACCTGTTGAAGATTGTCGGAAGATGACGTCCACTTCGGATCTGAATCGTACGGTTTCCTTCATTGTTGGAGCTCGAAACTTGACCTGACTACTTGACGATGATGAAGACGATGCAATCTCTCTAAGTTTATGCCTTCAGAACCCAAGTCTACTGATATAATGGTTTCCGTTTTAATTTCCTTTTTATTAAGTTTTATTTCCTTTTTTCAATTTTTATGTTTCCTTTTTAAATAGGAAAATTCCATTAACCATCTTGTACTTTTTAATTTTAATCCTATATTATTTTTTGATCTTATTGAATCTTATACTTCTTCTATCTAACAATAAAATACTTATATTTCTACAAAATTAGCAAATAAAACCCTAGACACAAAAACTAACTTTTTAGCCCTGATGTATCAACAATTTCATCATAGTCATATATCATATCATCAATTATCTACTATTTAATGATATTAAATAATAAAAACAACAAAAACATATTAAAAATTATACTAATATTAATAAAAATAAAATACAATAATAACATGTATATAAACCGGGTCGGTCTGCCTGAAAACCGGGACGATCTAGCCTCGCCATTAATTTTCCTTCTTTTCACGCATTTTTGGTTGGTTTGGTCAACTGTCGGACTGTCTCCGACATGCATTATATCAAAAATATATTTATTTTGTTATTTTTACTTCAACACATACCCTTCTCAAGTTGTGACCATGTGATCCAAAATATAGTGTGGTCACATTTTGATTTTAGTAATGTTTAATTTATGGTGATCACACTAATTCATTGTGTTCATACCTTGTATATCTTACTAATCATTTGATTAAAACAACATAAATTTAACGTTATGAGTAATGAGATAAACATATGATCATACTATATTTCGGATCACATGGTCACAGGTGGAGAAGAATATGTAATCCTACCAAGAAAGTTGTTAACCGGAGATGCACCTCACTACGGGCATGGGGGACTAGCCAAACCGAATCTCGATAGATATCGGCCACATAAACATTTGTGGGAACCCCCAATTGCGATGGTCCTGCTAAGCCAATAAATTGGATAAGGGGACCGAAAGGAGTCCAATTATCCCATCAGAAAGAAGTTCCTTTACCGTGCCCTATACGAGGATTGATGGGCCACAAGCCATGGGTATTCCATCGCACGTTTTTTTGTGGTACGTAAGCGAGCCACGCCGAGTCGTCGCCGCTTACGCTCTTGCGTTTGCGTGTAAAATAAGAGAATGGAGCTAACTCATTATTGCAACTTGAACTTGGTCAAGGCAGCCATTTATTGCCGAATTTGAAGAAATGCGATATGAAATTAGATGAAATCGGATTGAATTTCGGAGATTTCAAAATGATTGCATGAATTTTTTTTTTCTCAACAAATCGGGTCTAAATCCGTCTGCTACTACACGTGATGTCCGATAATTTATATAAAAATATATTAAAATAAAATTTTATAAATTTTATAAATTTTAATTTTAAATAAATATAATATAAACATTTGCATTATAAAATAATATAAATAAATAAAAAATAATATTGATATATATATTTACTAGTATAATTCTCCGAATTTTATTTAAAACAAATTTTTCACTTAAATCTTTTTTATTTCTGTTTTTCTAAAAATGTTAAATTTAAAAAAAAAAGTCTTTGTATTTCCATTATTTATTTTGACCATTTTTATTTATATAAAAATTTAAGCTAAATATTACGTTAACAAAATATTATGAAAATCGACGTGTATATATATAGCAAAATCAAGGCTGTAGACGAAGCAGCCACGAGTGTAGGGGACCGTAGCTACAGGCCGATAAATTAAACACACAGAACGAGGACCACAAAATTGAATGAGATAGGTATATAGATATCAAATTGGGTTGGGCTATCCAACTCATTTATTTTTATATTTGGATTATTTTTTGGAGTTAAAATTATTTTATAATTTAATAGATTTTAATCCATTAAATCCACTCATTCTTTAGTTATTGATTAGTTTTGATTGAAAAATTATTTAAAATTTACTTATAAATAGAATTGATATATTTATATATTAAAATTAAAATTGAATTAATTTGAAACAAATAAAATATGTTCAATTTGATATAAAATAGAATATACAAAATTTATTTTAAAATAAAAAATTGAACTTAAACCAAATATAAAAATAAACGAAAAACCGAAATATTTTTTAAAATAAGAATTTTATAATAAAAATCGAATTCGTATTGAAATAAAACAGAAGGATCGATTGGATCAGAATCGAAACGAATTAATACAAATCGAATTCAACTCGAAACGAAACAAAATGAATCGATTCGAAATGAGTTGATTCGAATTGAATTCTCCACTCGAAATGAATCAAAACGGATTGATTCTATCCGAATCGATCGAATTGATTCGAAATAAATTTGGATCAATGCAAATAAAAAAATTGAATTTTAATTTTTATTTATTTATATATATTATTTAATTTATATTTTGTAGATGTTGATATTACGTAATCTAATTTGATTTTTTTTTATATTTTTTATTGATTTTCAATGTAGATAGAAAAATTATAATTTAGTATATTAAATTGTGTATGTGAAATTATTTTTTAATATTTTAAATTGGGAGCATAGCAAAAAATATATGAACTTTTTAAATTTGGCAAACAAATAAATAAACTTTTAATATTGAATAAAAACACATGAATTTTGAATTTTTTCGTATAAATCCACTTATAAAAATAAACAACTTTAAGATTCTCGCATGCAACCAGACAAAAAAATAATTTAATGTAGTGTTTTTGGGGGTATACGCACAAAATTTCAAAATTTGTGTATTTTTATATAAAATTAGAAGTTAATGTATTTATTTCCTAAATTTTAAAAAGTTCATATTTTTTTTTGTGATATCCCCATTTTAAATTAGGGAACAAAAAATTTCAGGGGTGTATGAGTCCTCAAAATAAAAATAGGATAGTAATCTAGTTGATTTTTTTATTATCCATTTTTAAGATGAATTTGAATTATTAAAGTGATTAAATGAATTTTGAGTGTTAAAGTGATTAAATGGGTTTATTGGATTAAAATGAGTTTTATAGGTTATTCCAATGCATTTAACTATTGTTATTGAATTACACCCAATCCAAACCAATAATTCATTAAACCCGAATGAACCTAATTAATGAGTTTTTTTTTTGGTTGGCCAGTGGATTATTACAAAAACTGTCGGGTAGAAATCGAACCCTATCCATGTTGAATACGCCAAGTTTGACATTACCCTACCGTCTCTGAACGTTCTCAAACCACACACGTCAGACGTGTATCTTTCTTCGAAATGTCTCCTACGTAAACCATATCCCCACCTCATAATTCTCTATGCACACACAAACTTGGTTTCCTATATATATATATGCTGGAATCCGACAACCTTTTATATGTTCTAACTATATATCCAATAGCTAGTGTTCGTCGCCGGTTGCGCCTCTCGCTCAAGCCAATTAGGTAAAGTTTAAAATGTACTTATATGGATAAAGAGTTACGTTAGGGTTATTGGATATCATTTATTAGAGTTATATATCTTCAAATGGGTTTTCGAATAAGTCCCGTTTTGAAGAGAGAGAAAAAAGTTATTATATTATCCTTTAACAAGTTTTGGTAATCGTAGACACCATGAAGATTAACGTTAAAGAGACAACGGTGGTGCGTCCGGCCAAAGACACGCCTGGAGGGTCTCTCTGGCTGTCCGAAATCGATCTATTTTTCCCGAATATCCACAACAACACCGTCCATTTCTTCAAGGCGGCCATGGATACACATCCATTGAGCAGGGATGACATAACTAGGATCCTCAAGCAGTCTCTGAGTGAAGTCCTTGTCCACTTCTATCCTGGAGCTGGTAGGCTTGGAAAAGACGAGAATGGTCGGGCTCAGATCGAGTGTAACGCGAAAGGCGTGACCTTTGTGGTGGCTGAAGCCGATTGTACTCTAGATGAGATGTTAGATATTGGGGAGTCTGGTCCTGTCTCCAAGTTTAGGCCTCTTATTCAACCCGTTGATTACTCTCAGGACATATCTTCCTTCCCCTTAATCCTCGTTAAGGTATGTTATTGAATTTTGCTTTTTACAAGAAATCATTAGTGTATATGTAAATAGTTGGAATAATGTTTGATATGTTCCGAAGGTGACATATTTCAAATGCGGAGGAATGTGTCTAGCGATGACACAGCACCGTTGGGCAGCGGACGGTTCATCAGCTGTGCAGTTCTTCAACTCGTGGGCAACAACGGCTCCGGGTCAGCCCATCGACGAACCTATCCATGACCGTAGATGGATCAGTGACCAAGCCTTGCCATCTCCAAAGTTCGAACACCCTGAGTACGACACTAACGCCATCTTCGGCCATGGAAACCCTAATCCAGCTCCCGTTGATATTTCCACTGCGTATCTCAGAATGTCCACCCAACATATCAATGCCCTGAAGGACAAGGCAAACGCAAACGCAAACGCAAACGCAGAAAATGCAGACGCCCACGACCAAAAGTTCAGTGCCTATGAATCACTCGCTGCCCACCTTTGGCGTTGCGCGTGCAAAGCACGTGGGCATCCAGATGACCAGAAGACATCACTTGTCTTCCCTGTAAACGCACGTCCTAGGCTGTGTCCACCTGTTCCAATAGAGTTTTACGGAAATGCCATCCAGATGTCAGCTCCGTCAGCATTTTCCGGCGAGCTTTTGAAGGAACCGTTATCTTCCACGGCGGGTAGGATAAAGAAGACAATAACGGAGAAAGACAACGAATATATAAGATCCGGGATCGGTTACTTGCGTGACAATAAAGTGATTGATGGTTTTTCGGGTAGGTCATCGTTTCGAAACCCTAATCTCGGTGTTGTGAGCTGGAGTCAGATGCCGATGTACGCCATGGATTTCGGTTGGGGCCCTCCGGTTTACACTGGGCCGGCCAGTATAAGGAGCGAAGGCAAAATCTACGTTCTGTCCGCTCCTACGAAGGAGGAGGGCTTGGCGCTCTACGTTTGCTTGGAGGCTTCACACATGGAGCTCTTCAAGAAGTTTGTCTACGACATTTGATGAAGCTATAATAAATGATTTCGTGTGATCCATCATATGGGGAATTTCTTGGAGGGTTTCTTAGTGCACGTTTGTTTATTAAATTAAGTGTAGTGTGTATCATTTATCTATGAAGAAATAAATGATTTGAATTGATAATATATAAGAAAATGGTTTAATCTGTATAGCGGGCATATTTAAGTATCTCAAACATTTAACCCTTGTCTCGTTGCTTTAAAGTGAACGGTCTTAAAATAAGACAAATCATTAGGGGAAAAAACCCATAAACGTCAGTGTCGGTACAGGCTGCCAAAATCATACGATATCCGATTGAATTAAAACGCACCATCTCTGTTTAACTCTCTCAACCATATATGTCACTGGCCTCATCTGAAACACATTATTGTCGCAGTGTATTGTAACTTCGGAGAACCCTATTCATCTTCGAGGTCTGTACACACATCTCTCTCTCTCTCTCTCTCTCTCTCAGTCTCTCTCTCTCTCTCACCCTTTTTATGATACACATACACATATGTTTGTTCGTGTTTCTTTGTGTCTGTGTGTAGGTTTTTACATGATTATTTCTAGTCATTTTCCAAAGGGTATGTTTACTTCACACAAAATTGTTTCAGGTTAAGACAAAGTATTCTGGAAATATATCGAGATTTAAAAAACAAAACTTGGAAAAACAAAAGCTCAAAGATTAGTGACCTTTTGGTAAAAGATAAATGTTCTTGAGTGGATACTTTGATTTAATTGATTTAATTAGATATAAATATGCATAATGTTTTTATAGTAGTTAATTGTAGTTATTTACCACATTAAATGCAATTATTTCTTTCATCGCAGACACATACATACATTTTAAGTATAAGAAATGTTATTTCATGATGATCTCTCTTATCTCTCATGCATTTGCAACGTGACGTATTTTGAATGTGGAGGAATGTGTTTCGTGGGCCGATACGGCTCGTGGTCGGTCCATCGATGACCCGATACACGACCGCACACTGATCAGCGATCGACCCTTACCGTCTATCAAGCACCCTGAGTTCGACCCTAATGCGGTGTTTGGCCACCGGAAACCCCACCAAATGTCTGTTGATATTTCCACGGTTTATCTGAAAATCCCCGTTGAACAGATGAATGTCTTGAAGGACAAGGCAAACGCAAACGCGAATCGCCAGAATCACAGCCTCTACCAGTCTCTTGCCGCCCACTTGTGGCGTTGCGCCTGCAAAGCACGTGGACGACCAGAAAACAACGTTTGTCTTCCCGGTGAATGTCCGGCCAAGGCTACCACCTCCGCTGCCACGCGCGGGAGCTTTTCTACAAATGTTATCTATATCACATTAGCTCCGACCGCATTTTCTGACGATATTCTCTAGGAGCATCTCTCTTCCACGGATGGTCGGATCCGGAAGGCTATAAAGGAGATAGAGGATGAACACGTAAGATCAGGGATCACTTGTTTGCACGACAAGCAAGTGACGGATGGTGTATCGGTGAAGTTAGCATATCAAAACCCTAATGTGGGTTTCGTTAGCTAGACTCATATACCGATTCTAACGGCGGATTTCGAGTGGGGATCACCAATTCGCTGAGGGCGCCAAGCATAAGGAGTGAAGGTTTAACATATCTTCGGCCCGTTTCTTCAAAAGAAGAGGATGGATTGGCTCTCTATATGTGCTTAGAGACTCAACACATTGAACTCTTCAAGAAGCTTTTCTATGAAATCTGATGATGAAATGTGTATTGCGTATTTGGCATTTGCAAAATAAGATTTCATTTTGAGAAAATTGGGAGGAAGCGTCACTTGTGATGATAATAGAAACCTAAGAATTTCAAAACGAGAAATGAATCTATGTGTGTGCAACTTTCAACAAGATTTGTCTTAACAACACACAGTTTGGAAAGAAACAGACAACAGACTACAATTCCAAACCCGGAAAATAACAACAGAAACAGTAAGACAAGGATCATGGCAGGATCAATTATTGTGTACTGTAATTACCAGATTCTTTGAAGCTCTCCTGAACCGTCGATTAACCGTGTCAGCCCCAGCAAGGGCGACGATCCTCTCATTGTAACCGACATCGGGAGATACGTGAAGCTCAAGGCATTGCAATACACGGCCGAAGCGAAGGAGATACTGCAGAAATCGAAGATCGTACAAGATTCCCCGAAAGCCTTTGATCTTGACGACTCTCAAGGTATTCTTCAGGCATCTATAGATGATTTTCTCCTCCCACAAAGTGTCCGGATCGAACTCGAACGGCGGATAATAGTCCTGTAAGAAAACTTTACTTCCATGTTAAGAGACAATACACAAGTTTGTTTACTCATGTGTCAGCGCTTCACTATTGAACGATACAATTCCATTTGAACGCCAAACCCTAAATCATTTTCAGCAACATTACGTGTTACTATGAATTGAATTGATTAACTTACGACCAAAATTCTTTCAGGAACAATTTCGAGTGTAAGAGATTCCAAGATGTAGCAGCTTTTGAGCATGAATCTGATTCCCAAGAACTCGTGCGGGTACAGTGATGTCTTCAACGTTAAACATCGCGTTTCCAATGGACGGTCCAGAGATAACGGATTTTCACCATTCGGAACCTCCTTTGAAAAGAACAAAAAAAAAAATAAAATCAAATTGACCGTTAGAAGTACGAGACAGAACAAAATAAAAATCACTTGGCGCGGAAGACCGTTAGATGTAAGAAACAGAACTTCCGCCGTGATGCCATATATACACATAAGGGTACGTAACGTTGTAACTATGTCTAGGTAGAATAACTTTGTAATATTATCGTATCCAATATATAGAAAATCGTTTTTCTATATGGTATCAGAGCCTTAATACGGACTAAATGTCATTTAGTACCTCGATCTAATACCCACATATAAGCCGTTATTCATTATGTTTTTATCTTCTGTCATGCTTTGAACATATACTAAAGCATGCGCTAGTAACGACGCCTGATAGTGATCGAACTTTCATATATATATATATATCATAGTTCTAACTAGCCGAAATTTCCGAAAAACAAACAAGAAAAGCGCAAAGTAATGATATAGATGTTGTTTTCGGACCTGAAGAAGATAAGTGCAAACCGTCAAAGTCGTGGCGGATGCAACATCATAGAGGATATTACAAAGAATTTCCCCGGTTTCCTCGAACTCGGTCTCTAGCCCGAAATCCAAGCAGACCTCTTGCATCCTCCTCTTCAGCCGATCGAACACGATGTGACAAAATTCGCCTGAATACTTGAACACCTCCAAACAAGGCACGTCAAAGTAGAACGCCGAGCCGGTAAAATCGCAATTCTCTATTATTAACTCTCTTAATCTTTCGTTGTTGATTAACTCAACTAAGTCCACATTCCGACACATTCTGAGGGTTAGGCTCTCGAGCAATGGAGTGTTCATCAACAGGGACTGGACGGATCCTAGTTCGACAAAACCTAGGGAGAGATTCTTCAGTGATGTCATGTTTTTGAAACTTGACGCCACTAGCCCACATGCATATAGATTCAACGACTCTAGTTTCGCTTTCTCGTAAACACAGGAAGGCAGATCGATCGCTGTCACTTGATTCTCCGAGCCGCAGGAGAAATCAAGAACAAGGTTCTTGACGCTCTTCGAGACAGCGAATCTAATGAGGGATTTCATCTCTCCCTGGAATCCGTCTGGTTTCGAGAACTTCACTTCGAAACTGTCGATGCGGTCGCCGTAAAACCACGAGACCCATTCGGACATGAACCGAACGAACAGAGCTCTCCTCGCCAACTTGTTCTCCTCAGAGGCCGACAAGTCGACGAAATCCGTCTCGTTGAATTGCACGTTACGCGTCTGGTAGCACAGGTTCTTCCAACGTTTTGACAGCACGCTCGTTCGGACAGCATCTTTGAAGGGTAAGTAAGAGATTATCATGATCAGAAGCAAATCCTTCATACCCGAGAGCATGTCTGGATCTTGTGGAATATCCATTTGGTTTCGAGGGCGAGCGATGAAGTGATGATTCAGCGGAGACAAAACAACCAAGTCGCAAGAGAAGTGTTGTTTTTTGATAAGTGTATGTAAGGTTGTGCCTTTAGGGTTAATGGCAGTTTCTTTGTTTAATTGACTGTGGAACCGTCTCTTTTTAACCTTTCTTCGGACTCGCACGGGTGGAAGAACGACACAGTTTCAGATTATTTATGAAAAATTCTCCATAAATAATGTTTTATTTAATTAATTTTTTACTGCGTAATTAATTTTTGTGTTACGTCATTACATACATAATGTTAAAGAATAGTAGATATTTTACTTTATATAGAGATTTTGCTAAACGTATTTAAGTTGCCTGATAAATAAAATACATCATTATGGAAAATAATTAAATAATTTTTACCAAAATAAAATACATTATTTCAATAATGCATTCTTTATTTTACTATACAGAGAGATTTTGCCTGGTGTGTTTCTTCTTCACATTTATATTGACGAATATAATAAATTAAAATGAAATACGTTGAGACCGTTTGAAGAAATAAAAGAAAATCCTGCGTAAATACTTTTACTGGGAAAACGAAGCAAAATATAAAAATAAGTTTGATTTATTTACGAAAACATTCACTACAAAAACTAAAGTACATTAGTAATGAACGATAGATAATATACGGATTAATATATTTATGAAAATTAAATCGTACGATACGTTTGATTGTTTTGCTCCCATGGTTCAGGAAAACAAAGGGAATTTTCTATACATCCATTGGATTGTAAATTTGGTCATTTCTTGATATTTGTCCTAAAACCTTATATACATGGAAGACTCTGGCTGGTGTAGAGGGTTGATCGAGTCGAAATAAATTTCGGCCGATACAAAGGAGAAACACAGTCTTTAACAAAAAAAAAGAAAAAAAAAAGAAAAAAGAGAAACGCAGCGTATGACGGAAAGGCAAAAGCGTCATTTAGCAAAGAAGTAATAAATAAAATTTAATTTGATCTAATCTAAATTTGGGTGGTCTAATATCAAAAAAATATACAAAATATATTATTATCCTGAATTCAAATAGATCTAAATATGGGGATATTTAGCTGGACTTTTTCGATTCTATTGGAGATATAGTTAGTACGAAGTTTGGTTTCACTTTGATCTCACTCTTGTTTAAAAAGTAAGCAAAGGTTGAATTACTTGCATTAAAAGACAAACTTAGAAAAACTTTCTTAAGCCAAAATTTATGATCTTCAAATATTCTAGTGCAAATACTTCAAAACTTATCACGAACAATGACGTTCGGTATTCGATTCGGGTTCGATACAACTTTTTATCGGTTCAAATTATTCGGTTCTAGAAAAATACGTATCATTCGATTATTACATTTGGTTCTTTTCGATTTGGTTCGGTTTCGAAAAATTCAGTTTTCTAAATATATAATTAGATCCAATAAATCTATGTGGTTTAGTGAAGCCCTAGACTATTTTGTATAGATATGTATATGACACGTATCAACTAGTGTAGCTGAAAAAGCATACAAACAAGTCCGAGAGTGGTCGTCATCCCTTTGGTGGCCGATGTAATCTCCTTCGTCTCTTCTGTTCTTTATCTCTCCAGATACATGTTTTAGCAGACGTTCTAACCCGTGAGTGTGGACTAGTTACGAGAACGGTAATTTTTAGTGTTTGTGACAAGTCTCTAGATCAAAACATGTTAGTATATTTACACTTTTGTTATTACATGCAAGATGTATTCATTTAGGTTTCTTAATCTATTTTTCCTGTGTGGAATCCAAAATTTGAACATGGAAACCATTGTGAACGGATGTTTAGAAATTTTCAAAATCCAACATCCGATTTGTGCTCTTCTCTCGACTTGCAGGAAGGTTCTCTTCCGGTAAGATATTTCGGCATCCCCTGAGCCCTTGGAGACTATCTCGACTTGATTACTAGCCACTAATTGAGAAGATCAAAGGGAAGCTGGCATCGTGGACAACTAGATTTCTCTCGTTTGCTAGGAAAATCCAACTCGTCTCTGTTGTCATCTATGAGTCTATGACATATTCAATGCTTGGAGTTCGGTATTTATGCTTTCTAAATACTTTTAAACTCGTGTACAGTCTCAGTGCCACCTTCTTCTAGAAATCTTCCTCATTGATGTCGTGTTCATACCATATCTCATGGGAATCCATATGCAAATCCCGCAAGGAAGGCGGTCTTGATTTGCGGAAATTTGAAGACTTAATTTAATACCGTCTTCCGACTGAAGTTAATCTAGTTATTACTCACGGAATCAGGCTCGTTATGGGTGGTCTAGTTTTACCATAACGTTCCTAAGAGAATAGGGTTTTGGGCCACATTGCGGTTAAGCCGCTTCTCTCGGAATGCACGCAGGCTATTATATATCCATTAAGGAGACTGCTTAGAGCTTCATCAGACCGTGTTGGAAATGATAAGAATATTAGGTTCTGGTTTAATAATTGGACAAGACTCAAACCTCTGATCGATTACATTGGGATGCTGGGCCCTAGCTAGATTGCTTAGTCTACCAAAATACAACCTCTTCATAATGTATCCAGGAACTAAATGTTATTATCACCTCTGCTACCATCTCATCCGATGGCCTTGGTACTGACATGGTGAAGACAACTGCAAAGATTGTTTTTCCTCGTCCAACACATGGAACTAAATCAGGAGCCATCACCTCAAGTTCTTTAACACTCCTTAATATGGTTCAGTCTCTCTATATATACCACGATTTGCTTTAGTGCAATGGCAAGCTATCCTACAACATCTCCTTACCACAGACCGCCTCTACCGCTGGGGCCTTTAGATTGGCAGGAAATGCCCACTATGCCGTATAGAAGATGAGTCACATAGCCATATTTTCTTCTGTTGTTTGTTTAGTACAGTCATCTAGAACTTTTATGCTTAGAATTGTTGGTCATCTCCCCCTCTAGTCCTGTCCCAATGTCATACGTGGATTAGCCAGTCCGATCATAATCAAAGCAGAAACCGTACGGTGATTGTCAAACTCATCGCGCAAAATCCTAACTTATGAAATTTGGCGGAACGCAGCAATCGCTTGTTCCGCAACCGCTCCAAATCAGTGGAGATAATTTGATGGAAACTAGACCGTACGATGCGGAACACTCCCCTTCCCTTGCTAACAAGAGGCAATGGCCATACAACACCGTCCTCGAATATTGGTTCTTCTTAATGCTATATAATCCTCGTGCTATGTAGGGAACGTGACCACTTACACATGGATATCCCTTTATATGTGTTCAATGTAATTATTATTATTATTATTTTTATTATGTGCTCAATTTTAAGTGGGCACGAACAACTTTCTTGATTGATCCAAAATTGGGTGGCTAAAACGGTAAAGAACAGAGTTTTCCTCCTAATCCGGTTCGAGTTTTCACTGAGAGAGAAACATTCATATAAGCTTCTCCATTCCTCTGAAAAATGCAGTCGGACGAAAGGTTCGGTTAACTTCCGGATTATCAAAAAAAATCTTTCTCGGATTGCTTCATCTTTTTTTTTTTATAACTTCAACTATCTTTGTTTATCAATTGATTTTTGAAAAAAAAAAAACTGATAGATATAACGTGCAAAAAAGTTTTATAATAATAACAATGGAAGATTATGTAGGAGGCACATATAACACATATGGACCGATCAAATTCACGGTGGAAAACAAGATGGATTTTCATATAATAAAGTAAAGCAAAAGGAAGCAACATGGTCTTGAGGAATCTTCCATGGGTTTATTCTATGGATGTACCTACGACCTCCACCCTTCTCAACTCCCAAGAGGCATTTACGTACATGCGTGTATATGTGTGCATATGTATATATATACACACATCGAATATGCCTCTATCCCATTCCGAGAACACAATTATAATCACCCTCTAAGTCATGATGCATCATCCATGGCCAAATTGGAATTGAAAGTCATATATATATATACAAACACACACACATTTAAAATAAATTAAGGAAAAAAAAACACAGTAGACACTGGATGGAAAAGCATTAATAGGATTGAATTACGAAATTGAAAAACGAGTCTTATTTTCAGTGGGGACACATTTTCTCCCCACTCTTTCGTCTCTTGGAAATTATATATAAAGCCAAAACCCCCCAAAAAAAAAACCCTGCCTACCAAATCCAAACGTCGTATCCTCATCTTTTCATTATTGGGATCATATATATATATATATACACACACACATACGCACAGTGAACTGTTTCCGGTCTTGATCATCAATCACACCTCGACAATTTCCCGCAGCGTCAGATCACTGCTTTGCCTGTACCACCAAAAAAACAAAAACGAAAACGGAAGATTGAAGAACTGGCTCCCATGAGACCATAAATTGAAGAATTATCCAACTTAGAAATTCGATCTCCCTGTGAAGTACTTAGCTTTAGATTGCATTCGGACAGGACAAGAAGAAGGGTAAAACCTGGACCAAGAATCTAATAACAGTTGAGTACTTTAGACCGCATTCAGACAGAACCCATCTGATTATATTTAAGTAATCTCAAAAGACGTTTATTGAAATACAACTAGGGGAGCTTTGTGTGGCTGTGGAGTGAAGCCAAGAGACAGTTTTCTGAGACAGGAGAATCAGCTTTTGACCAAATGAATATGCGTGTTTCTTATCCGTTTGGGATTGAATTCATTTTTTAAGGGTGGTATGGGATGGTAAGGGATGTTTACCTGAGAGTACAAGAAGGTTCCGAGGATGGCAATGGCGGCTCCGAGGGCATTGATGGGCTGGACAGGAGTGTGGAAGATAATGATGGAAGAGACGATGACGGAGATACGTTTCATGGTGTTACCGACACTAAACGTCAAGGGAGAGATCTCGTCCAGGGACATGTATGACACTTGGTTGTAGAGATGATAGAACACGCTCTGGGCAGCCACCCACCTGTTAGGACAGCCACGCCGTGTCATGTTCGGTTAGCTAAAGCCATATAATTGAAGAACTAAGCAATAAGATGAAGACTCGATCGTTCTAGACAAAATTAAGTCCAAATCTAGGACATAACTGAATTAGACCCATGTGATCCAAATTTCCATTGTCAAACCCAAAACTAGATAAGGAGGAAAGCTCCCAGAAGGAAATGAAAACTAAGAGCCGAAGAATTGTTTCCTCATAAGGATTTTAGAGAACTTACGCGACGAATTGGGGTCCAATATCAGAGAGAGCCTTCTGCCACCCATCAACCCACATCTGTGGCCCCTCGACCGCAATGGCAAAGGGTGTGAGTATCAAGAGAGACAAGATGGAGAGACAAGCATAGTAGTTCATCCCGCTCACAGACTTTCCTTTCATGCCCTTCTTCGAGAATATGTTCCGGAAGACGAAAGCCAAGTTGGAAATCATGGCTCCCATGAAACCTGAAACCACAAATCTCAGCTCTAACCATATCTGAAGCCTAATTCAGCTCTAAATTAAGCAAGCACAAGCAAATTTTCACTTCCAACCGTATCAATGTGTTACTCAGTTACAGCTCAGCTTCTGGAACATTACCGGTCATGTTGAAGTTTAACTCGGTAAGGGCAGAGAGAGCGCAACCACCGATGATGGGAATGAGGGAGAGGTAGACCGAGGTGGGGAAGGTTTCACCCAAAAGGAACCTTGAGACCAACACACTGAACGCAGGCTCGCCACTCTTGATGATGTGAGTGAAGGAAACCGCAACCTTTGACATACTCACAGTTGCTGCTACATGCCCAATTGTGTGAGCCACAGCAACCTTTGCCAAATCGCAAAAGATTTCATTAGAACAGAACCAAAAGTGTAAATCTAGATGGTGTGTTGTTTTACAAGAGCTTAAGAAATAAATGAAATCACAATTCAAATTCAGCTGCTCAAGTCCGTGTTCCTTGAATTCTTGGGTGGTCTTTTCAGTTTTAACTGGTGGCCAAGAATTTGTGAATTTCACAGCCAAATGAAGCAAGATACGAACAAAGACGGCAAAAAAAACATCACTTTCTTCTCCACCGTTTTCCTCGGGAAGCAGACAAAACTGTGGCTGTCACTCAGGTAAGCAAGAAAGAAAAGCAACACATATTCCTGCAAAATCAGCAGAAACTGACCCCAAACCCTAATACCCAACATCGTAAACATCGGTATCGTCTAAAATTTCCAACCTTTTTTAAAATTTTCTCAGCAAGCAAACAACCCAAAAAAAAAAAACCCACCAACCCACTTACCGGAAAAAGAGTCTTCCAGAACTCGAAATCCGTTTGCGGCGCCTCGGCGATTCTGGTAGCCCAGGATACGAGCATGATGAGCGAACCGGCGGCAAGGGACAGTGTGGAAGTCAGCCATGGATAAGGGTAAGCGTTCAAGACTTTCTTGTTGTAGATGTTGAAGACGACGTTCAAAGCCCACCACGTCGCGAAGTAAACCCCAATCTTCACGCGCTTCGCCGCCTCCGATTTCGCCGTCGCCGCATCAATCGGCTGAGGCTCCGATCGGTCCGCCTCGTACGCGTCGCATCTCATCGGAGACTTCTTCCTCCTCGGAACGAGGGACGAAAGGTACAGAGGCCTCGACACGGCCAACGCTGTTCGCTTCGGTAGCTCCGTCGCCGGAAACGACAGCGAGGCCGGAGATCGCCGGAAAAGGCATGACGGGTTACGCCGAAAAAGCGGATCGAATACTCCGACCTTCGCCGCGATGGTTTGCTTCGCCGATAAAACCATCGCCGGAGAGGAAGAAGAGAGGTTTTTCGTCGAATAGAAAATTAAACCCAGAAAAAAGAGAACTCTTTGACAGAATCAAAACCCTAGCACGCGAAGAGAGGAACAATCAAAGGGTGAACCCAGAATATGAAACAAGAAGAAGAATTCAGGAACGTGAAGCAGGACGAAGGAAAGGGCGATCAGATCGATCCAAAAGCCGATCTTTGCTGGGTTTGTAGCGAAGGAGAGGTATGTAAGAGCAAAAGTAGAGCAGGAAATAAGTATATATGTGTGTATATCAGTATATGTGCACATATAAAGAGAGATATATTGATTTACAACCTCTTTGAAGTGTTTCTTCAAACATAAACCATTAAAAAATCTTTTTTTAATTATAGAAAAAGGATCCTGTGTCTCAAGCTTATTTAAAAGCGATCGCATGCAGCAATCACAAGCCGCCACGTTGGGGAATATTAAGGTTAATGTTTTATTTATAAGAAAAATAAAGGTAATTTCCTCTCAACCTTTTTTCCTTATAGGTCAACGTATTAGTTTTTTGTTGTTGAAATATTGCGTTATTAATTTCCTTATTCTAAATTTGGACAACTTCATGAATTTTAATACGAATACCTCTCTTATACACACCTTATTAGGGGTGGACATAATATCTAAAAAAGTTGAATCGATCTGTTATTCGATGTGTATTCGAAACAAAAATTCGGATATCCGAAGTTTATGAATTGGATACAAATATTTATTTTAAGATATTTATCGGATATAGATCGAATACAGATATCAAAATCGAATTATTCGATATATACAATCTGATCTATATTTTGTAATAATATTATTAAATATAAAAATAATTTGGTATGAAGATTTAAAATAATTAATATTTATATATTTTTAAAGAGTTTTAAGAAATGTTTTATATATATTGATATTTAAGATGTTTAATCGTTGGAATATTAAGATTAATTTATTATGTTTAATATTTTGAATTTTAAATTTTAAATATATTTGTGATTGATAGATTACGATCGTATTTGTATGTAAATTGATTTTGAATGTTTAAATTATAAACTTTAAATTGTGAATATCGTTTATATTAAATGAATTATATATTTTATTTATATTTGAGTTTGTTATTTAATTTTAATTGAAAATTTTATAATATTTTAGATTGCACACGTATATTTGCAAATATCCCATAATACGTATAACAAAAATTACAGATCAGATACAGATAACAAAATCGAATATTTATGGAAATCTCAAAAATTTATCATAATCGATCCATGTCTACCTCTAACCTTAATTTTGAGTCGGAAAAATAAAAGAAAAAAGAGGATTCCATAAATGTGTATATATGATTTTCAATTACATTTAGATTTGTTTGTTTTAACTGATAAATGAATTAGAATCCAATTTAAAATCATATACATAAATAATAAATAATAAAGTTTGAATCAATTTGGTGAAAACATTTAAGCATTCACCTCACCATCAATATGAGGTTTGTTTTAATTTTTATTTATCCTTTAAAAACTCATTAACTACATATAATTGATTAGTATATAAATAAATAATAAAATTTGAGGTAATTCGTATGATACATAAAAAATATTTTAACAAAAACATTCTCATCATCGATGTAGTATTTGTTTTAATTTTTATTTAACATCTAAAAAATCATTAACCACATATAAATTGATTGGACTACCACTAATTTTTCATATAATACTTTTTTCAAAATTTTGGGTAACATATATATTGAAAAAACCACTAAAAGTTTATGATATATAAAAATATTTTAACGAAAGTATTCTCTTTATCTATGTAGTATTTTTGTTTTAATTTTTAATATCATAACAAGATAATGATAATGTAACTTTCACTTATTCATGCTTTAATATTACTTCAATATAGTCTCACTTCACATTCCAGGAATTAGTTTTGCCTTGTACTACCACCCACCTACACATATATAAAAGTTACTAAAACTTTCTAAATCAAAATTTCAAATATAATATTATTAAATCATTATTGTTGATGATGTTTTACAAGTTGACATATTTATGAATAATTTTTAAATAATTCTAAGTAAAAAATTATGCAGTCACAAATTACCATAAATATATTATCACCCTAATTTGGATTATAAGAATGATGATAATAAAACTACTGGTTTATGTCATGAAAATTAAATAAATAAATTTTCAGATAATACTACGTTTTAAGCTATGACTACATTTGAAACCAAATCTAAAAATGAATAGTTTTGATTGTATATCTCTATATTCTTATATATTTCGTCTTTACAAATATTAATATCATATTTAATACGTAGAATAAAATCCATAAAAAAATTTAAATTTGTAAAATAGTGGAAACTAATTACTAAACTTTTTACTAAATAAATTTATTTTCAAATTTGCAAAACTTGTTGTTATAATTACTAAATTTATTAATGGATGCAAAAAGAACCTCGATGATATTGACTTAAAAATTAATTTAAAAATTACAATATCATATTTTGTAAGTTTGATAATTGTAATAACATATTTTGTAAGTTTGAAAATAAATTTGTTAAACGGAAAATTTCGGAATTAGTTTTACATCATTTTACAAGTTTTGGAATTTTTATGAGTTTTACAATCAAACAATAAAACAAGTTATCTCTCTCACAGTTTTTACTACATTCATATCAACAAATTTTATATAAATATAGTAAAAAATAAACGTTTTATGTCATACATATACAAGTCAATATCATCAGAATTCCATATCATATATAGAAATTAAATCGTTCTTAAAACAAATTATAACTACAATATTTAAAAATATTATTTTTGGTATTATGTGTAGAAATTGAAACACCGACACTGAAGATCCCATAACAAATCATTCATATCCAATTTATACAACGCTTAGATAACAACATATATTTTTAAATAATTCTACTTTTTAACTTGATAATATAATGCGTTATGCTGAATGTACAATATTTTAGTTGAACCAATATATTTTCTCTGTATAATATAAATAATTTATATATTTTTTAATCACATTCATATAGCAAAGTTGTATTTTCATATTAATTGCGGGGTTTGGGAAAAAATATTAGAATATTAAAAACCGGAGATAAATCGTACTGTAGATTCTATAGATGTCAACAGCTCTTCCTCCGTTGATTCTTCCTCGTCAACGAGATTTCTTCCGAAGATGATCTCCTCGAGCAAGATCAAATCCGTAGACTTCTACAGGTTTTGTATCTCTTTGCTTTTCTCTCGCACTTTGTAGATTCCTCCTGTTTTTGTAGATTTTGGCTCTTTTTTCTCGATTTAGACAGTGACTGATCTAATGTCGGTAGGAATTGGTATAGATTTTGTGTTTTTGTCTGAATTGCTTGAAGGCGAGGCGGAGATTTTGTAGATTAGCTCATAGGTAGTTGGTATACAGTAGTTTAGGAGTGTTCTTGACGTTTTAAGATCGATTTTCTCGTGTAAGAGCATTTTCATTTCGCCTGAGTGAAAATAGGATGCCCAAGTTTTTCATTCGGTTTTTTAGTATGATCTCGTGGAAGAGCATTTTCATTAGCCACTTTAGTTTCGGTTTCTAGGTCCTGTTTATATTATACCGATTTGCTTCAGCATCTACTGGCATCTGAGATTTATGAATCTAGACATTGATGCTAGGGATTTCATGTTTTCCTTCTGAATTATGTGTTTTCAGGAAAATCCCGAGGGACTTGACAGAGGCGACGCTGTCAGGTGCTGGACTGTCCATTGTAGCCGCCCTCTCTATGCTATTCCTTTTTGGAATGGTAGGCTATAGCTGGTTGTAGTTGTTGTTGATGGCACTCTCTAACGGTCGTTCAAGCTTTATGACAAAGCCCAACCTCAAAACTGTTTCAAAGTTTAATGCTTTAGATAATTTCAAATGCTCCTTTCATTGTAGTTGGACTGCCATTTTGACTTCATAAGTCTCTTGTTACAGGAATTGAACAATTATGTGGCTGTCAGCACTACCACATCCGTTATTGTTGACAAGAGTTCTGATGGAGAATTCTTGCGCATCGATTTTAACCTAAGGTAAATCATACTAAAATATAGATTTTGATTTTGCTGGCAAAATATTTTATTTTGTTTTAGGGTTTAGGTTAATGTTTCAGTTCTTGAGGCTCGAACATCAGTTTTATCCTTTATTTGTTGAATATATGTCTTATTCCTTCAGAACTTCTGTTGGTTACTTGCGCTGTCTTATCAATATGGTCCAATATCCAGATGTTTTGCGGTTGCTGACTCTCATTTCTATTTTACTGCAGCTTCCCGGTACTTTCATGTGAATTCGCATCTGTGGATGTCAGTGATATATTAGGAACTGTAAGTTTCTTTTGTTATTAGTTTCATCATAACAACCCTGAGTTCTGGTTGTTGGCAACTGCTGGTTGTTAATGAGATTTATATGTCTGGCACGCATACGAGAGTTGGAATGGACAATAGTTTCTTAGGGTGAAAGAAATGTATCATGGTAGGTAGCACATCTTACATCTGATATGACGATAAACAAAACTCACCAGACAATTACCTATTTGGTTATTGCCTTTTTTCTGCTGTGATATTAGAAGCTCAAAAGGTAAATATAATATGTAAAATAATAGAGGAGTCTAGATTTTCTGATTAAATTGTTTAATCTTTGATGTGTGTTATGGTGATGAATAACAATGTCAGTGGGCAGAACTGTAACATGATATATTTTCCTGCTTGATTACAACAACATAGTACTTAAGGAGATTCAGCTAAGCAATTGATATGATCTATGTTGCTAGTTGTTTTGGTGGCCTTCCTCCAAACTGAAAACTGCTATATAATTTTAAATTATGAACTCTATTTTATCGTATATGTAATTTGAAAATAAAATACTTTGCTTGCCTTTCTGTCTGTTTGGTTCAGAATTCTGTGCCCTGTATTTGTAATGGAAGTTCATTACCCTGATTTCTGACTTATGTTTTCAGAACAGGCTAAATATAACAAAAACAATTCGCAAGTTTCCTATTGATTCGGATCTAAGACCCACTGGTCCTGAGTTTCATGCTGGGACTGTTTTGAATTTCATTAAGCATGGAAATGATGTTGATGAAGAAGCAATTGAAGGTTCCATACCACTAAGTAGCAACAACTTTGACGAATTTTCACATCAGTAAGTGGCCTATGCCAAAGTTCATTTTAATCATTTCATATATTAGTGCATGAATAATTATACTAGGAAGAGTGCCTGTTCATACGATTACTTTGCTTCTGTTGACACGATTCAAACATACATTTGTGCAGATACTCCGTTTTGGTTGTAAATTTTTATGCTCCATGGTGCTATTGGAGTAATCTCCTGGTAAATCCATTATCTTTGTTTCCCATCCGCATGAAAGTTAGAAGTCATTGCACATTTTCCATTTAGTTTGTTGCCTCTTCACTCAGGCAATATTTATGTTTGTGCTTGCATCATAGGCAGTGTTAGTGCCTGATAACAAGACATATTGAAAGCCAACCACCCTTGCACTGAATATGATCTCAACAGGAAATTAAATAACATCAATGGGGGGAATGAACTGATTATAATTTTAGCATTCCATGATGGGTTACTTTCCTGTTAGAGGTGGTGTACACCTTAGCTTAGCTGTATTCTAAAGAATTTAACTAGAAAGATGTCAGTTGTGTTTACCTGATGCGGTTCTGTTGGTACTGAATATCATACTTTAATTTTAAGTGAAGTATATTTTGGCTCAGTAGAGACTCAATTTTGCTAATCTTTTCACTGGAAGAATATAATCTCTGTTTGTATGGTCAGAAACCATCATGGGAAAAAGCAGCAAAACAAATAAAGGAAAGGTTAGTCGTTTTACTGTCAGTTGGAGATAAAGAATCAATTATACTCCTTTACTTCATTACTGATTATCCATTTTCCTTATTTTTCCTATAGATATGACCCAGAGCTTGATGGACGTGTTATTTTGGGGAAAGTTGACTGCACCCAAGAAGCTGATCTTTGTCGGAGGTACTTTAGTAATCTGTTTGACATCTCGCCACAAATTATATCCATAACTCCTCCAGTCTGTGCATAATTTTAAAGAGAAGCTATTGATAGGTATTTCCGTGGACATGTTTGTGGTTAGTGAAGATTCATTGAACTTAGACTAGACTAGTTAGTGTTTTGCTGTTGGTGTTGGTTAGTTAGTTAGTTAGTTAATATCTAGTTTCAGCAATCAATAGTTATAAAAATAGGTTAGCGGGATTAGAGGGGTTTTATAGTTGTTTTTTGGTAAGGGCTGTAAGGGGAGAGGGTTGGGATCCTGATAAGAACACAGAACAGATTTGTAAAGAACACTGAGCAGAATTCCTTCTTTACTGTTATCAAAACCCAAAAAACGTGGATGGGTTTGATTAATGAGAGCTCCTTCTCTCCCCAACACCAGATTTTCCCAGAATCAAAACATAAATCCCCTTTCCCAGGTCTATAGTCTATATACTCCAGCCCCAACAGCAAAATGCTGAGCTGGCCTAGGTAAAAAAAACCCGTTCTGCAAAAGCAAAATGCGATGATGAAGAATCGGCTCAAAACAGAGAAATCGCAGTGGGAAAGGAAGTTTTCTGTGGAGCAGTCACCTATCGATAGCGAGTGCACTACGAAAACAGCGTCGGCGATTGGTGAAAACTGCCAACAGAATGCGAGTGATGAATTCGAAGTAATAGCATCCGAAAGGGGAAGCATCAGGGGAACAATCACCGACCGATCACGTGCATCACGAGTTGGTCAGAAATCTATCAACGAATTGTGAGTTTGTTCTGAAATCAGCCAGTACGATCAGATTTTCTGATTTTTCGATGGCTACAGCATTGGCAAAGGTGAAACAGGATAAATTTGTCGGAAAGGATATCTTGGAATGGTTTGTAAGAGGAAGAGAGGCTGGGGAGAAGATTTCCTTTACTTCCATGAGTGAAGATGGCTTAGCGTGGGTGTTGTACAATGGGCGACAAAGTAGAAGGCAATTTTGGGATTGGGATGGGAGACTTTATCCACCAGTTGGATTTTTATCAAAGCAATTTCGACATTGTCAACTTGAGGACAAGTTGAAACTGTAGGCGGGGGCGGAGCGGTATTGATAGGTGTTTCCGTAGACATGTTTGTGGTTAGTGTAGATTCATTGAACTTACACTAGAGTTAATAAGTGGATGTTTTGCTGTTGGTGTTGGTTAGTTAGTTAATTAGTAAATATCTAGTTTCAGCAATCAATAGTTATAAATAGAGAGGTTAGAGGGATTAGAGGGGTTTTATGGTTGTTTTTGGTAAGGTTTGTAATGGGAGAGAGTTGGGATCCTCTCTACAAACAAGATCATCCAAATTGTGTGTTTTCGTTTTGGGAAATCGATGAATGTGTTGAGTTTTCTGCTGGAAATCAGAGTTTCAGGAGCTGAAACTTAACAGCTATTAGGATATTTTCCACTACGTACATCATTGCAAATTCCAATGCTTGCAATAGTGGGATTGGAATAGAAGGGGTTTCAGGACATAGGTTAGTACTGAATCAGTTTTGCATTAGCCACCTGCCCCCCACCCCAAATAACAATTGTGCAACTCGTTGGTCTAAGATCAATTTGAAAGTTTCAATGAGTGACGGAGATAATCTTCTCCCGTTTTGTCTTTAGCTTCCATGGAATTAATTTTGTTTTGGATAAGATAATCTAAGGTTTTCTAAAATTTTCTGACTGGACCAAATCAAGTCATATTTTTGGAAGGTAGTTTGAATCTCCTTGCAATTTGGTTGCTATACGTAAAGTGTTCTTTGTCATTCTTCGAGTCCTTTTCAATTATTGGCTGTATTCGCTCACTCCATGCAGCTTCTTAACTTTAGTTTCTTATTTATCTTCTCAGGCATCACATACAAGGGTATCCTTCTATTCGCATTTTCCGTAAAGGCAATGATGTTAGGTAAGAGAGCATGGATGTAATGTATTCGTATAATATATGATCATTGTTCACTGGCTCAATATAGCTTATTCTTCGAGCATGAATCAGAGAGGATCATGGACATCACGAGCATGAATCCTATTATGGAGATCGTGATACAGAGAGCCTAGTAAAGGTAGACCATACTATCCAGGTTTCTTTTTCAATTTTTATGCCTCTTAGGAATGTTATTGTTAATATCTTTTCCGAGCTTCTCCAGATGGTGGAAAGTTTGGTTGAGCCAATCCAGCTGGAGTCTGAGAGGTTAGCATTGGAAGATAAATCAGACAATTCAGCGATAGGTCTGAAAAAAGCTCCTTCAACTGGAGGATGCCGTATTGAAGGATATGTGCGTGTAAAAAAGGTAAGTTTTACGGAAAATTGAGATGACTAATTGGTGTTTGAACTCTGGGTACGGAGCAAAGTTACCAGTGCTTATACTATCTGACCGACTTTCCAGTTGCGTAAGATGTCGTATGTTTATGTTCTTGCAGGTCCCGGGAAACCTTATAGTGTCAGCACGATCTGGATCTCATTCATTTGATTCTTCTCAAATGAACATGTCCCATGTCATCAACCATCTCTCCTTTGGCCGGAGTATTTCACCTCAGACTATGAAAGACCTAAAGCGCCTGGCACCTTATCTTGGTCGGAGCCATAACCGCTTGGACGGCCGTTCATTCATAAATCACCGTGATCTCGGGCCTAATGTTACTGTAAGTTCACATCTTACCAATAACTCGTCTTGGTCATTACATTAGGACAATAGCGGGAGAACTCACTATTAACGACCTAATGTTCCACTTGATGGTTTTGTTTTTATTTTATCTTTTTTTTATCCGCTATTTGCGATGCTATCATCTATTCTACAGATCGAACACTATCTTCAAATAGTGAAGTCGGAAGTGATAAAGAGCCACGGACACTCATTACTCATCGAGTACGAGTACACAGCACATAGCAGTGTGGCTCACAGCTTCTACTTACCGGTCGCTAAATTCCACTTCGAGCTCTCTCCCATGCAGGTAGGTATATATTGAAATATCGAGATAAACCTCTTTTAATAAAAAGGATAAAACCCATAAAAATTTCTAAATTTGTAAAATGGTGAAAACTAATTTAACTTTCTAGTTGATAAATTTATTACCAAACTTCCAACATGTGTCATTATAATTATCAAACTTGTTAATTGATGTCGGAAGAAACATTGACGACGTTGATCTACAAATTAGTTTGGTAATTACAGTAACACATTTTGCAAGTTTGGACTTATAATGATAAATTTTGTAAGTTTAGAATAAATTTGTGATATGGAAAGTTTAGAAATTAGTTTTCCACCGTTCTGTAAGTTTGAGAATTTTTATATGTTTTACTCTTGATAAAAGGAGTAGATAAGATCAAAATTCAAGACAATATCTTGTAATAGAATACTCTTTAAACAACACTGCTCGGGTTTTCTTTTCTTTTTTGAAGGTTCTAATTACGGAGAACACAAAGTCGTTCTCACATTTCATCACCAATGTATGCGCCATTATCGGCGGTGTCTTCACGGTTAGTGAAAACCTCATGTGATATGGTCCAGAAACTAACATTCCGGCACATGGGATTCAGTAAATGTATGACTCTTTCACCGGTGGGGTTTTTCAGGTCGCCGGAATCTTGGATTCGATTTTCTACAACACGATCAAACTGGTGAAAAAGATTGAAATCGGCAAAAGCTTTTGATAGGGGAGGCTGAGGAGCTTATATTTATTGCCACGTGAGGTTGGGCACGGAATTGGTTACCCAGATATTTTAGGATATTCGAATTTAGTATTTAAATGTTTGGGATAAGGATTACAATCTGATTTCATATCCGTAGGGTGCTGAGTATAGAAATTTCCGGTATCCGAATCCGAATTTTAGGGAAAAAAATTTAAGGATAATTTTGTAATTTTTAATAAATATTAAAGTGTTTTGTAATAATAGAATGAGTAATTTTGTGTATTATTGAAAAGTATATGGTCGAATATCGATTTGGTTTCGGTTTCGTTATATTCGGGTTCAATTATTTTGGTTATAGAAAAATTATAAACATTCAGTTTTTATATCAAATTTGGTTCGGTTCAGTTTTATTTTAGTTCAGTTCGATTTAATTATTTTGGAAAAAATATTAATTTTTTAAAGAAGTGTTTTTTGTTTTTTTTTCTAGATGTAGACATTCGGCTCGGTTAATAACTAAACTAAATCAAATAATATTATTTTGGTTATTAACTGAATCGAATCGAATAATTAATTGGTTACGAATTCTCAAAAATCGAAATAACAGAATTTGAAATGAAATGAATCGATTAAAATTTAATAAACGTTTGGTTATGAGTTCTCAAAACTCGAAATAATGGTACCGAATTGTATATACACACATATATATATATACATGTACGTATGTCTTTTTAATTCAAATCATTGTTTTATTAATTTTTTACAAATGTGATAAGGAGAATAAGATTTATTTATAAAGTCTTCTTTTTTATTTTGTTATTTTTATATCAAAATAAATTATGGCATGAATATAAATTTTGTTATATGATTATAATGGTATTTTATATTATATTTTGTTTAAATATTTTTCTATTATAAACAATACAAAACTTGTTTTTAATATTATAATCGATCTGAACTGATTTAAATTTGTATTTGGCTATAATTTTAAGTAGACAAAAATAAATCAAATTGATTTTTGAAACCGAATTGAAACGGACCAAATAAATTAAATAATCGTTTGGTTATTAGTTTTCAAAATTCAAAATAATTGAACTCAAACTAATCGTAACTGATTAATCCAAACCGAACCGTTTATCCACCTTTTTTCAGTTATTTTTTTTATCCCCTCTCGTGTGATCCATGTAATTTGTATGATATGTATGAGTATCATGACTCAATAAGCTAAAAGTGTCAAATTTCAATTTTTATGCTTGATCGTGGCTTATATGCTGCTATATAATAGAAATAAAGTGTTTGTGAATGAATTTCACGTAATCATTAATGTTTTCTTCTAACAAATTCAAATTGTTTCAAAATAACCTAAAAACACTACTGGGTTCGACTGGTTATACCGCAGCGGTTGCGGTTGCGGGTGACAGCGTTTTCAGAACGTTTGATAGCGATTATAAATGATTAGTACTGACTGGTTGAGAAGTTGCTGTTGGTAGCGATTGCGGGTGGGTGCAGTTAGAAGTGAATGGTTCATTACGGTTGCGGTTGCGTTTTGATATAAATTGTCAAAAAAAATATTATTTAAAAATAATTTTTTATAATAGTTTTAATTAAATTTTTCGTATCATTTGATAAAAATTATTTACTAAATTTATAATAATTAAATAATAAATTTAAAATATAAATATTATCAATTTAATTTATTTTTAAGTAAAAAAATAATTTTATTATAAAAATTATTAAAAATAATCATTATTAAACTTAAAAATTATACTATTGTATTTTTTTTATTAAAATATAATACTAAAAATAATATCAAATCATAACACTAAACAAAATCATCACCAATATATATATTAATGTTTTATATAATTTCTAATAAAAATATTTTAGTTTTTTTGTCAAAACGCCGGAAACCGCTACCAAAACGCAAGTTGGAAGCTGCGATTAGAAAACATAAGTTTGGTTGCGGTTGCGGTTGCGGTTGGTTGCGGTTCAACCAGTCAGTTTTTCAATCGCCCGCAACCGTCGGAAATCGCAACCGCTTCGTTTGCGGGTGGCGGCGGTGCAACCAGTCGCCCCCTAACACTTATGATGTTGGTTTTGATTCAGACTTTGAAATCTGAAGAAAAAGAATAAATTAATGGAAAATTGGAAACAAACCCAATATGGATGAGAGGGAAATCGAGGAGAGAGAAAATATTAATAAATTTAAAAACTAGGGTTGGAGGACATGGAATGAAGTCAAAATCTACGTCGTCATGGTATATATATCAGTGAACAAAAAATGAATCGAATAACAGAAATCGGAAAATATGCTACACACAGAAGATGTAATAATATGCAATGGAGAAAAGATTTATAATGTCTCAATGTTGGTCCAAAAAATAAAATTGCAGATGGATGTGCAAGTTACAAAGGAAACATGTAAATGAGTGCAAAAATTATCGTCCAAATATAGGGAATATAAATCTAGAAAAAAAAAATTTTAAAAAAAAAGAGGAGGAGAGGAGATGAAGGGAATTAGAGGGAGGGAATATCCACAAGCTCCGTCTATGGCGGCCAACAACTATTTCCAACGAAACCAAGCTCATCTTCACCACCATCGATACCATGGCTTTCTCCACCATCACCTGTAACAAAAAAAATGTGACAAAACAAGAAACAGAGAAGAAGAAGTGAAGCAGACAAGGGGAGAGAAGATTCAGATTTAATAAATAAATTTTAATAAAGGAAACAAAATCGAAGAAACTCGAAGGAAAAGTTTCGTCTTTGAACTCTTTCTCCCCCGTGTCTCCTTCAAAGCTGGGTCCCCTTTGATTTTTCAATTTAGTTTTCCTCAAATCCACACAAAAAAGTATCTTTTTTTTTTTAACTGTAATCGATCGATCGATCGATCTTTCTGAGGGGTTTCCAGTGTGGCGCTTCCTGGTCTCTGGGTTTGATTTTGGAACCGTTTACTCTTTTTCTCTGTTCCTGGGAATTTTTCTTTCGCTTTTTCCTTTTTCCGGCCGCGAATATTCTTCCCTTTTTCCGGGAAAATTTCTTTTTTTTTTCTGTGGGAATATTCGTAAATGTGGGGGGCCGCGACTGAGCCAGCAGATTCTTACTACCAGGTTCGGCCTGAGTGCACCGATGTCGCCAGGACCCGATTCAAGATCAAGGTTTGTATCTGTGTTCATCTCATTTTTTTTTTTGGATTTGTAATCGTTCTGGATTTGCCATCAATGTCGTGGTCTGAATCTTGTCTATTGAACATGAAATTCGGTTCCATGTTGCTCCATACCATTGTTCCGGTGACAACGGCGTTGATCCCGTTGTCATGGCGTTTAACTTGTTCTCGGGTTTTGACCTTTTGGGATTAGCTTGGTTTTGTAGATGAAACATGAGAAGAAACAGGTACGAGACGATTGAAATGATTGTGGTCAGTTCCTTCTGGAAGCAAATTAAGCTATGATCTTCCCTTAAATGTAAACATATGAACTGCTTCATGTTCATAATTATGTTTCCTGGTACGGAGAAATGAAGGGATTTGATCTAAGACACTGTTTAGTTCTCCAGACCCATGCTTAATCTCATCTGTTAAAGGCATATTACATTGTTGTATATAGGAGGAAAGGGTTAGAGGTTCTTTCTTCTGTTCTGTAATTTTCCATCAGTCATGAGCTTGATGCTTTGACAGTGTTACCTAGTCCATTCCGAACTTGAAAGTTGTTAGCTTTTGCTCGGCGGCTAAGTGGAGCTGCTTTGAGCTTTAGACGGATGAACTTTCTTCGCACATAACTTGGATCTTTCCCTTCCTCGTGGTTATAAAAATATCGTGGCATGGTTTGCTGGGTATTAATGAGATAGGTAGATGGATAGTTAAGGTTGTATATGAATGTCTGCTAACAAGAAGATGATGTTTGATTCGTCTAGAAGGTTTTCACCGCATTGCTGACAATACGCTTGTATTTCATAATGCTTCTGCAGCCGGGTAAAACTCTAAGTATAAGAAAATGGCAGGCTGCATTTACCCAAGAAGGTTACCTCGATATCGGCAAGACTCTGAGCCGAATCCAACGTGGGGTAAGTCAGTAAACTTTGTTGGAAGACCGCTTGAAATTTTTCTTTGGTTTAATAAAAACTGCAGATAGTATAGATGTTCTGGATATTGTTGTCCACTGTTTGTTTTGCTGAAGCTTGAAACTATCTGCATATTAACAAGGCATGAAGGTGGTTTTTTATATCATTAATCATATTAGCCCACGGGATAAACCTACATGACAACAGATAAGAGAAGTCTAGCCTTGTCTTGGTTCCATTCCCGTCTTTTTATTCCATCCTTTATCGTTGGTTCAGGGGGTCCATCCATCTATTAGAGGAGAAGTCTGGGAATTCCTGCTTGGTTGTTATGATCCAAAGAGCACATTCGAAGACAGAGAGGGAATCCGACAACATAGAAGGTGATTTCTCCTTTCTTATTCCGTTAAACATTGCATTTGTCATGATTCTTTCCATCCATGTAAACCATATACAACTAATAGATTCTGCGGAAAAATCATTCTTCTTCAAGTACTGTTATTTGCTTCAGACTGCAGTATGCTTCCTGGAAGGAAGAATGCAAGCGGATGTTTCCTGTCGTTGGAAGCGGTAGATTTATTACTGCGCCTGTAATTACCGAAGACGGTAAACCCATTTATGATCCTCTGGTGCTTCAAGAAACAAATTCAGGTAAATGTTATCTTTGGTTTATAGAATAGTAAAAATGTTGTTAATGCTAAAAACTGTGGATAAGCGTTTGCTGTATACACCTTCTGTTTCTTCAGGACCTGATTCAAATGGTTCAGATTTTTTTAAAGAGCTTACGAGTCGCGGGCCTTTGGGCAAGAAAGTAATCCAATGGATGCTTACGCTTCACCAGATAGGTCTCTCTTCTCTTGTATCTGCATATTTCGCGTAGTTTTCAAGATTTTTCTTTGCTGAAATTTGTTTTTTCTTCCAGGTCTTGATGTAAATCGCACGGATAGGAGTTTGGTGTTTTACGAGATGAAGGAAAACTTGTCCAAACTCTGGGATATTCTGGCTGTTTATGCTTGGATAGACACGGACGTCGGGTATTGCCAAGGTTAGTTTTCTCGAGCAATTAAAGAGAAGGATGTTCACCCTAAAATCGACAAATTGTCTTCTGAATCCGAATATTGTTCAGGAATGAGCGATCTCTGTTCCCCGATGATTATGCTTCTCGAAGACGAAGCTGATTCATTTTGGTGCTTCGAACGTTTGATGCGCCGTTTGGTACTTAACCCTTATTCTTCTTGTTTGTATCTAATCACATCTTGAACCGAAGTGAAAAGAAAATTTCAAGGCTGGATTTTATACATAGACTGGCGATGGATCCTTGCAAGTTTCGGATATATTTTTTGTATTTGAGCTATGTTTACTGGTTATCGATTTTTGTTTTTTGAAAGCGAGGAAATTTCCGGAGCACGGGGAGATCGGTTGGGGTTGAAGCACAGCTTACCCATTTGGCTGCAATCACTCAGGTTGTTGACCCCAAACTTCACCATCATTTAGGTACTACTTCTACCTCCGTAGCGTCTCTTAAGTATATCTCTTCTGTTATAGAGATTCTGAAAAAGATTATGGAACTGCAAAAAAAAAAATGGATCTTGAAATGCAGAGAACCTTGGCGGCGGCGATTATTTATTTGCAATTCGGATGCTGATGGTTCAGTTCCGTAGAGAATTCTCGTTTTGTGACTCGTTGTACCTTTGGGAGGTACGATTTGAACTCATCTATTATAAGCATTACACCATCGAATATATCCTTCTTGGATCGATCATTCTGGTAACGATGATGTTATTCCCGTCTCGGGTTTTTTTTTTTGTGTGTGTGCAGATGATGTGGGCATTGGAATATGATCCCGAGTTATTCGATTTGTACGAGGATGCTCAATTCGGGTGTGAAAAAACCGAAGGTTCCAGAGGTAAACCGAAGTCAATAAACCAATGCGGAAAGTACGAGAGAGAAAACATGAAGAATGGAGGAAAGGGAACGGAAGCTCCATTGCCTATGTCGATTTTCCTCGTTGCCAGTGTCCTCAAGGACAAGAGCTCGAAGCTAATGACTGAAGCCCGTGGCCTCGACGATGTTGTTAAGGTTTTTTTGCGAGATCACGAGCTTCCCCCCCCCCCACAGTGAACTGTTTCCGGTCTTG